TCGGAATCAGCATGGAGCTCACCTATTTGGGTCGTACCTAAAAATGCTGATGCCTCAGGCAAACAGAAGTGGCGTATCGTGGTAGATTTTCGGAAAGTTAACGAAAAAACCATTGATGATAAATATCCGATACCTAATATAGCTGATGTCTTGGACAAACTGGGTAACTGCCAATATTTCTCGACCTTAGACCTGGCCAGCGGGTTCTATCAAGTAGGAATGAACCCTGCTGATATACAGAAAACTGCCTTTAACGTGGAGCATGGGAACTTTGAATTTTTACGTATACCCATGGGCTTAAAAAACAGTCCATCTACTTTTCAAAGGGTGATGGACAATGTTCTCAGGGAGCTCCAGAATACCATCTGTCTGGTCTACCTTGATGACATAATCGTTTTCAGCACCTCTCTCCAAGAACATATAGTAAATTTAGAAAAAGTATTCCAAAAATTACGAGAATCCAACTTTAAAATCCAAATGGATAAGTCGGAGTTCTTAAAGCTTGAAACGGCATATTTGGGCCATATTATAAGTAAATATGGAATCAAGCCCAACCCAGACAAGATTTCAGCTATACAAAATTACCCTTTACCTAAGACACCGACCGAAATAAAACGCTTTTTAGGCCTCCTTGGTTACTATAGAAAATTCATCCCCGACTTCGCGAAAATCACCAAACCCATGACTATGTGCCTGAAAAAGAACAAAAAAATTATTTTTGACAAAGACTATATTAACTGCTTTGAGAAATATAAAAAACTACTAACTAACGATCCAATACTTCAATATCCAGATTTCACCAAAGAATTTGTGCTTACCACCGACGCATCTAATTTCGCAATAGGAGCCGTGTTATCCCAAGGGCCAATTGGATCTGATAAACCAATCTCGTTTGCATCTCGTACTCTCAATGAGAGCGAGATAAATTACAGTACCATTGAAAAAGAATTACTCGCAATAGTTTGGGCCACTAAATATTTTAGACCATACCTTTTCGGACGTAAATTTAAAGTTTTGACTGACCATAAGCCACTCGAATGGATTATGAGTTTAAAAGAGCCCAATTCCCGTTTAACAAGATGGCGATTGAAACTCAAGTGAATATGACTTCACTGTAGTTTATAAAAAAGGTAAAAGCAATACAAACGCGGATGCCTTATCCAGAGTAGAAATCCATAACGAGGAGATCAGCTCTGTGGTTGCCAATCCTTCTGAGAGGCCACCATCCATAGATAATTCCGCTACCCACACAGCCCATACTAGCAACGAAAACCCAATTCTAGAAATACCTATAGTAGATGAGCCCCTTAACAAGTTTCACAGGCAGTTAATTATGACTATAGTAGATGACATTAAAAAACGCCCGGTTGTGACCAAACCATTTGAGACGCACACCAAAGTGACTATCCAAGTGACAGAATCAAACTTAGAGACCGACGTTATTAATGCCATAAAAGAGTACGTTAATCCCAAAGTAAGAACAGCATTATTAATTAACCTACCATTAGCAATGTACAAACTTATACCTATAATTCAAGATAAATTTAGAAGCTCTTCCATGAATCTAGTTTTAGCAAAGAATGAGTTAGAAAATGTTAAAGATTACCTGAGACAGCAGGACATTATCAGGCATTACCACGACGGGAAGACAAATCATAGAGGGATAAATGAATGTTATCTCGCGTTATCTAGGAAGTATTATTGGCCTAAAATGCGAGATCACATAACAAAATACATAAACGATTGTAGCATCTGTGGCCAGAGCAAATATGATAGAAATCCGATAAAACAGCAATTTCACGTAGTACCACCAGCCACCAAACCTCTTGAGATAGTTCACGCAGATCTTTTTACCGTACAATCCGAAAAGTTTATAACGTTCATAGACGTTTTCTCTAAATATGGCCAAGCCTATTATTTAAAAGATGGCACTGCAATAAGCATATTGCAAGCCCTCTTATCATATTGTACTCACCATGGTCTCCCTTTAACGCTCGTCACCGATAATGGCACTGAATTTACTAACCAATTATTCGCAGAATTTCTGAAACTTCATAAAATAATTCACCATAGGACCTTACCTCACTCCCCTAACGACAATGGAAACATAGAACGTTTCCATTCAACGTTATTAGAACACCTTCGCATCCTAAAACTTCAACAGAAAGACAAACCAATTGTGAATCTCATGCCATATGCCATTATAGCTTACAATAGCTCTATCCATAGCTTCACGAAGTGCAGACCTTACGACATACTTAAAGGACATTTCGACCCTAGAGACCCCATTGACATTGACATTAGTGAAAAGTTACTCCAACAGTATATAATAACCCATCGCGAATAAATGCAGACTGTTTATGACTTGATAAATGAGAACTCTTTATCCGACAGGACTGCCCTTATAGAAACACGAAATAAGACTAGAGAGCCAGAAGCTGAGTACCAACCCAACCAACAAGTTTTTATAAAAAATCCTTTTGCAAGCCGACAAAAAGTCGCTCCACGGTACACACATGACAAAGTCCTTGCTGATCTTCCAATCCATATTTATACGTCTAAGAAAAGAGGTCCCGTAGCCAAATCTCGCATAAAACGAGCGCCTAAGAACATAAAATTGTTACAGGATACTTCTGGCGCTGACCCCATTCCTGATACAAGCCCAGGACATAAGACTTGACAGCCTGGATGACGGACCCGGACCTCTGCCCTTTAAACTAGGAAACACCCGACTTATAACACATTATCATACGTTTTTACAGTACATAGAACTTAATAACATAGAACAGGACGTAAATGCATTACAGGACGAATTACAAAACTTTAAGAGTAGAATCTCTAATAACACTTACCAATTATATGAGCTTCAGCTAAGTTACCTACATAATAAAACTAATACAATATTAGATCATTTAAATAGTCTCGAACCAAGTAGAACAAAAAGAGGTCTGTTAGATGGTTTAGGGTCAGTGATCAAAAGCATTACCGGGAACCTGGATTATCAGGATGCCAATAAGTATAACGACGCTCTTAAAATTCTTAAAAATAACCAGGATAAAATCACCTTAGAATATAATAACCGTGCAAGCCTTAATAGCGAATGGATGAAAGAACATGATAAGATAATTAGTCAACTTGTTGAAAATCAGAGAAAAATTAATAGTACACTCCAGTTAATGCTAAACGAGAACGCACATAGGGAAAGTGTTCTTATTAAATATAGTAAATTTGCAGAATTATTAACAATAATTACAGAGAATACTAATGACTTGTTAGATGAACTTTTAAGAATTGAAAACATATTAGCTTTCACTAGAACTACAACCACCCATCATTCCATGGTCAGTGTAAAGGTCCTTAAATCTATGTTAGATAAGTTAGGTATAATTTACGGGAAAAATAAGTTAGTCGATTTAGAGCTTAGAAATTACTATACTGTTATAAGATCAGGGTCATATTTTGTTAATAAGCAAATAATTATAGTTTTTAAAGTACCCATAGTTTCTCCAAATACTTATAACCTTTATAAGTTAGCACTAGCACCCAACAAATTCCACCAAATCCTTATTCCACCCTCTCCTTACCTGGCAACTAATGGAAAAGAATTTGCGTACATGGAGGCTGAATGCCCGAAGTTCGAAAATAAGTTTCTCTGTGACGAACACTCTCTGAAAAAACTTCGCACACAAACTGACTGCGTACAAGAAATAATTTCAAGACAAACCATTGACCCAACCTGCCACCATGTTACCTTGAATCTGTTGACAGAAGCCATGGAGCAGCTCGATGACCGTAGCTACGTTATTACCTTTCCAAGACCCACGAAAGTCCAACTGCAATGCAACACTCAGACCTACAGCATCTTAAACGGAAGTTTTTTGGCAACAGTACCCATTTACTGTTCCATACACTCACCTGAGATCACCATAGTGAATTCCGATGACGTCATACAAGGACATCCACTTACGATTATGAAGATAAATTATCCAGACAAACAGGAAGATGCAGCCATACCACATCTCAACTTGAATACCATCAACCTAGAGGGACTACATTCTATAGAAGATAAAATCATGTTCCAGCCTCCACTGCAACTAGAGATGAACCCAGATACCATATACCACACCACTGTCCCATTCTACACCATAGTATGCAGTACAGTAATACTTATTCTTATCATACTGGCTCGGCGTTATCACCATCGCAAGGAAATAAAACAAGAAGAACCCAAGATGACATCTGCTGCTTCGCAAGAGGAAGCATCTGAAACCCTCGGAGATCATGTCTACACCAAGCCAGCTCCAGCAATTTTTTCTCTCAAAATATGAAAATAATTGCTGATCTGAGGGGGGAGGAATTACATCGCTGCCACATCGCCGACGTCATAATATATTAGGCAACCCAGTTAACATCGCAACAGCCCGTGATGTCGAGTCAGCGCAACGTGCCGGTGCAACATGCAGTGGCCTACGTGACCTGGCGTCAGCGTTTCCCCGAGTCCCACGTTTTTCAACAAGAACTCGGCCACTTGGTTTCCAACATCGAACCAGTACATTACTTTTAGTCCGTAGTTATTTTATTGTAATTTTTATCTTTTAATAAATAAGTTAATTTTAATTTCGTTTTTTTTGCATCCTCCGGATGTAGACTACGTAATTGGTCTCAGTACAGTAACTTATTTGTATCATTAGCTTTTAGCCTTCGTTCGAACATAGCTCGTCTATCTCTTTAATTCCTAAACCAACCTCTGTAAGTAAAAATATAAACAAATAAAAACTCCTTAACTCAAACCCTTAGTAAGTAAAAACCTCAATAACTCAAATTATTATTTAACGTTTCCCTTGGTATTTATCTTATTGAGGTTCTACTGTATTATATTAATTAACTGCAAGGTTGTACTCCAGAGAAAGTCCACTAGAAAATTATATTTAAAATAGATCGAAGACCTTCTCCCTCCGGATCAAATGTAAAATTTATGAAAATAAAAAAAGCAATAATTTTTTAATATAAATTTATTTTGTTATCTTATTGACCATTTGTACCGATGTCCGTACATGTACAGTCATATACTATACAATAATGTTGTTATTCTTAAAACTAATAAATGTTTGGAATACATTTCAATGGAAATAACAGGGAATTATATCAATAATTATGTAAAATTAATAAGTTATGTAGGTTGTTGGTGATATCAATCAGCCCTGCATGATGAGATGCACGAAGTTCTCATAGTTGATGTTGCCCTGAGAGTCCTCTTGCCCTTGTAACAGCTGCTCTACCTGAAACACATGGAGAGAATCATTAAATCCATAAGTTTTGAAGACGTCATCAATTTTATTCAAACAGAAATTGAAATATGTTTATGAGAGGCAGGGCATTGCGAATTTCCCACTTGTCTAAAAAAGTAACGGCATAATAGCTAGCTTTGTGACTGGTATCAACTTATACACAACATCAGATGGTGTGTACTAATTTGCTATCTTGTATAATGCCAGCACTTCAAGATGGCTTTTACTTTTTTTTGCTATTGGTCTAACTTAAAAGTTTGTCCTTTTCATTCCTTGATTGCATGAGGTTATACTGTTATTAAATTTCCAAATACAAATGTCAAGTACAACCATAACAAAAACATAGTGATACATGGCGCCATAAAACAAACAAACAGAATTTCTGTGTTTTGGGGTGGAGAATATTATACAGAATGACATTTCGATTGTTAAACAGATATAATCAGAGGGCATTTTTGATATTCTCATTTGAAAATGGTTCCTAGTGAGAAATAAATGTATAATTAATAAAAGGACTAACCTCATCATCACTCAGCTTCTCACCGAGAGTGGACAGCAGGTGTCGGAGTTCTGCAGAAGATATGAATCCATTGCCATCCTTATCAAAGTGACGAAGGCCTTCAATAAAATCATTAGCAGTGTCTCCACTTCTTGCTTTGGAAATTGCCTGAAAACATATGTTGCAAACATAAATTACAAGGGGTTAATTTAGTCACAAATTTATTTTACATGAAATGACAATAAAAATAACATGGAATTAAAAATGATAATTTTTTTGGTTTAATGTTTTAAATTATGACTTATAAGTGTTAACCTAAAATGAATTTATAAAACAAGTTTTTAAATTCATTTCAGGTTAACAGTTTTGCAATAAAACTGTTAAACTAAACCTTAAATTTTGAAAAACTTTAGAAATATTAATATTATTTCATACATACTTGATATATTGGCAGAAAAACTTCAAATGATATTCTTTCATCAGGTTTCAAGTGAAGTGTGCACTTCTTGACATCGGACTCGGTAGGATTCTGGCCAAGTGCCCGCAGTGCATCTCCAATCTGTGCCACATGAATCTTGCCATCGCCACGAGAGTCAAACAATTGAAATGCTTCTTGAAATTCTGAAAATTAAGATCAGATTTTAGACAATTCTTAGCAAATCATGACCTATGAGTACCCAATGTTGACAAGGTACCTTCCACTGAAGTGAGCTTCAATTTCGTAGGCGGCTCGTATACGAACATATTGGACGACGCGAGAAAAGGCACTACAGCGTTGCAAACCGGCCGAAAGACACATTTTAAAATACCTACCTTATAAGGAAACTAGGGCGCATGCAATAGCCACCTCTTTCGGGTAAGACGTTGATTGACATGACTCACAACTGGACACACCTCGCGTACGTAGACATTTATCGTTACCGCCACACAACCAGTTTTACCTGCACTTTGTGGCAGTCGGTGTACTAGTTTTATGGAATACGTACGTAGTTCTCAACTTGCTTTAGTATTCTTACCTGCTAACTGATCTTCGGAGTATCCACCCTAAAACAAAAGAAAGGAAAATACCATCATGAGTCACAAATAAATTATGGATTTATAGCAGTATCTATTGATAATTTTACCGACCATTATAAAATATTACAGAATTATATCAAATTGAAACTCCAGCAAATTTATTCGTTATTAAATTCTTTGAAATCGCGTTTGTACCAATTTCAGGTTTCCAATTTATTTCGCAGCCTCTGTCTACTTCGCATCAAGTCAACAAATCACTATTTTTTTAATTGACAGAAGAAGAGGTAAATATTCACATCAAACAGAATAAAAGAGACAAAAGTAGTTTTCAAAATACCTACTACTAAAATTCGTCCTTTTTTTAAATAGTTTTATCAATTAAAAGCAAACGTTATTATGTTCATACAGCCTTATAAGAATTATTTTGTTTTGTTATATAAACAGGGCTTGTATAACGGTTAATTTTCAAACCTTAATCAGTGTCCAGTACATTAAGAGGGTTTTATTTAGGTTTGGCTCTACCTTAACCTTTAAAAAACCACGTATTTTGGCGAAAGGGGATCGCCCGCCTTACCTAAGCATAATATGCTCTAAGCATGGCTTATACAAACGATGCCGAATACAGCGTGACCAAGATATTTTAGAATGTGAGTGACAGTTCTGGGAGGGCGCCAATGGTGTGGATTTTTTCTTGATTCTCTAAAGCTGTACTTAAGTTTGACAACAGTGTACTCCTGTCATTTTCTATACAGAATGAATAGGGCAGACTGATGTTAAATTTAGTTTTAAGTTTAGAGAATTATGCTAGAATCGACACCAGTGTCTACCCGTAATGGACATAAAAAAATATGACGTTTACTAAGACGGTGGTGTCAGTTCAAATTTTCGTCACATCTTGGTCGCACTGACAAAGGCCACTACGTCTTTATAGTCTTTATGATAGTCTTACATATTTAAGAAATATAAAACATAACATCTTGATTTCATTCGATTTTACGTTTACGGTGCAGAGCTAACCCGAACACAGTGATATGGTCACAACAGAGGCCTTTTGTCTCCTTTTTACGGTTTTGTCATAAAAAGGAGGCAAAAGGCTTAAAAATACTATAAATTCGAAATGACTGCTCAACTTTGATTAAAATTGATTCTTGTTTCTGATTAAATATAATTTTAATAATTACTAACTAAATGGAGGCCATTTAGTTACTTATTAGTTCCTCGATAAATAAAAGTTTAAATTATAAGGCTAACGCTAAACTATACTTATCCGTCGTGTTGTGTTGTGTATTTATGACGCATTAGAGAGCTGTTTCAAATATTTTATATGGTTAGTGTGAGAACGCTGTCGGCACATAGCGACAGATTGCGACACACTTGTATAGTTCTAACTGTACTAAATGTAAGAAACCGATCGAGTCACAAGTCACAACACAACACATAAGGTAAGTTGAGTTCTGCCTTCATTAATTTAACGTTAATTAGTTCCAATGAGGGTTTTTTGAAATAACTGGAGCCAGATAGCAGCACTGCGACAAAAGATCCACTCATCCGTCACATCACCTATGTCGTCATAGTCTCAGGATCAAGTTAAATACTCATTCTATTAATTCGCAGCAAAAACTTAATACAAAAGACCATGGCTAGGCTTTAACTCGTTGTTCCGTTAATCAACGAAGTTAACATTTCTATTAAGGGAATAACTATTAAGTTAACTTTAAAAAATGTTAACGGACTCGTTAACTTCCGTTAAATTATTCTAACTCCGTTAATCGTCAATCCGTACCTACTATTTACCATACAGCAGGCACCGCGCCGTGGTTAGGGACACGATATCGAATAGAAAGTATCGATACTGTACTCATGAGTAGTATCGGAAAATAAGTATCGTACTCGTAAAAGTATTGAAACAAAAGTATCGATACTTCGAAGTATCGAGTACATTTCATAGGGCCTTAAGTGCTTCCAATTATATCAACGCAATGGAATGTTTTAGAAGGTTTGCTTTGATTCCACTAGATGGCGTTGCCATCAATATAAGGCGCTTACCCAAATTTTTAAAGGTATCGATACTTGCCAAAAAGTACTCATTTAGTTAATGTATCGAAAACCAAGTATCGAGTACAAAAGTATCGGTATCGAAAGGAAAAGTACTCGATACCACAAAGTATCGATACTTTTTTCGTGACCCTAGCCGTGTCGCGAAAAACATGTTCCTTACAAGTAGGTTCGGGTGGACCGACAAACAACGACAAGTGCAGAGCGGTGCCGACGCGTGCTAAAAGTAGGTACATAGGCATGTATTGGCGGCGAGTGTGATCTTTTCAATTCATTACTAGCGAAACGCTTACGAATGACAAGTGTTTTGGTTGTTTTTAGTGAAGTGTACAAATACTTCGTACTTTTTGGATTTTGTGTAACGTCCTTGATTGTTTGCTTTTGTGCAGTGTGTTTTTATAAGGAAAGAGTGTAAGTACATACTGTGTAAATTAAAACCATAAGTAAGTATCAGGGATTCGTCCAGCTCCTCTACGGACGAAAATCCGTGGCCACATTTAAGTGACTAAATCAGGTTTCTATCTAGATCGGGATGGGGCAGATGCTTTTTAAGTGCGTAAAATGCTTACCAAAAAAAAAAGAAAAATAATAGCCCATATGTAGAGCGTAAACAATGTGAAACAGCATATAAGAAGAGTGCATGAGTCTCCATACTTGCTATTTGAAGAGACTGTTAAGGTGGGATCTCACCGGGGAAAGCCAAAAAGAAAAATTGCTTACTCGTCCAGTATTAATGATGCTAGTCTCACTCTCAGACGAGAACTTCAACATGCTTATATTCATGAAGGGGAATATCCACATATACCAGATGGTTAAATTACACGCTTTATTTTTGATATATTAGTACACTGTAATTTTTTGAACCTAACCTATTAACTCAGAACCCAAAATAACAGTTTTTGTAAGCAGATCACTAACGCAACGATATGAAAAATGCAATTTTTATCACGTGTTAGCGGATTAACAATTAACTTGCATTAAATCTTCCGAAATGTAACGTTTTAGCGTTTAACGAAGTTATTTTTTTAGTAACGGATTAACGATTAACGAAGTTAACTATTTGATTAACGGTGCCCAGCTATGCCAAAGACCTCATCTCACAGTGGCGCCAACAGGTGGCGTTAATTTTCCTAAACACCCTCATTTCGGCCACGCTCCACAAGCGTAGAGCATATACCAATAGAGATGACATAGGCGAGTGAAGCCCTTTCACCATAGTACATGGCCACCCTGACCATGTGCATTATATGAAACTAGTTCACGCGCGACCACTATCGTTTTAGATAGTTCCATATCACGAGTCGGAGCTCCCATAAAAATGGAAAATTTTGTTGTGTTCTCATGCAAAAAGCGATCTGCCACTTCAGTTCTGCTTGAACATGGTGTTTCCTATCTTATACAAGTATTTTAATTTTCTAAAAGTTAATATTCTAGTGTAAAATTCAATTGAAAGAAAATGCGCGGAATGATGAATGAATGACAAAAATAATAGGTGTAGGCGTTTTTAGAATACTGATGCGACTGGGTACCGTTATAGGATGCCGATGCCATCTAGTTTTTGTCAATGTTACTATAGCTACAATCGATACGACGATGGCGCTAGAGGTAAACAAAAATATCGAAATTGTAAGGAAGAAGTAATATGCTCAACACAAATAAAAATATAATAAATACATCATCATCAGCCTCTTAATATTCCCACTGCTGGGGCTTAGCACAGGCCTCGACAGGAGCTCGAGATAATAATTATTTTGTCAGCTATCAAATTACCGACCACTGCGAAAGTTCCTTAACCTCCACGACCGCAGGCCGAACTACCTGCGCTATCAATATCCGTACGTACATGCTCAATACGTATTTTTGAAGTACATATATATTTTTTATCATTTTGGATTAAGCGTGAGCTAGCGAAGCACTCGTTGAAATAATGGGATTGATCTTTGCCGACAGTTTGAATCACTGAGTAATTTCTAATTTATCACACTTGATAAAATTATTAACTTCTTAAATCATCGAGAAAACATTATCAGGGAAACAAATAACCTCAATTAACTACAGTCTACGATTTCGCTAACCCCCTTATATTACATACTTATTTTATTTATTTATTAATTTACAGTCAGGCAACGTAGGCCCATAGATACATACCTTAAAGTCTAACATATATACAGATATAAAACATAGTAAAAAACTTATTGAACACGTATTGACGGCGACGTGTGATGCAGAATGGTGTCCAGTATCCGGCCTCGGAACCGCCGGAACACAACACCTTTCGGCCAAAGCTCTTCTTTCATAAAGTTGGCTAGGTGTTCGGTTTGGCACCGCGATTGAATTAAAATTCACATTATGGCGAGATTCCAACCGTGTGACTCTCAGGGAGAACTTCGTCTTGATCCTCAGATACTCTAGGATCTCCTCTTCCTTCGTAGAGTAATGCAGTGGCGTCGTTGGTATGGCGGGACGCAACAGATGGTTCGGTCCGGTCGGGGCAGCACCACACAGGTTGCGGCGAGCGGGCTTCCACTTCTTCCTTTCCACCTTGATGAAGCCTTCTTCGTCACAATTTAGATTTTGTGATGCCGCCGGAGTAGCACGTTTGTGTTTGCTACTCTTCTCTATTTGTTGTAATATTATATAACAAAGAATACATAAGCTTGGGTCAGTTACGCAGTGTTTTTTGACAAAATACTGCATTTTCAATTATAAAGGGAGTAAAAGGAATTAAATGTAGGCAGAGTATCCGATAAAAGAAAGCAAACGCAGTTACAAAGATTTTTATGCACAGCAATATAATTTGCAAAAATCGAAAGCTCGAACAATTACTTAGTAACATAAAAATGTGTGTGAGTTATTTTGTTTGGGGCAAGGAACTTATATAGTAAGTAATATTTGTTCCTTGGTTTGGGGACGTGATTGTTGAAGTGTGTGTTTACAGCAACAACACGCTCGTGTTTGTGTGAATATTGCATTTTTTCGTTGGTGTGCTATACGTGTATACCACATCCCCAGAAAAAGTGGCCAAAAAATTTCGTCCGGCGAGTGAACGGTATGGCATCTCCATTGGTATATGCTCTAAGTCCACAAGATATTGGTCGTATCGTACTCTGCCTTGCTGAATGTCATGCCCCGTTCTCACCGTCAACTAATGACGTCAACCGTGGGGCTGGGTGGGAACGATTGCATTGTTTTGCCGATTTCTCTGTTATTTTGTATGAATACCTTATACTACTATATATGTGGAATCTCCATAAAATTTCCTATTAGTCAGTGTCTTCACAATGCGTCATGTCCCTAATCTATTTTAAATAAATTACGGTAAACTCGGGAAAGATAAAAAAAAAGTATATTATGTATACTTATAAAAGTATATAATATATTTTCAAAATTTGTAAAGTCCAGTTTTTTGGTTTTTTGTACATTCTATTGTAACTTACGAAACAAAATTATAAAATACCATACTCCTACAATTTTAGTTTACATTATACCGTTTACAATCAGCGCGCGAGATGCGTCACCCAAACGCAATAGAAAAAACAGGTGTCGGGTTTCAAGCCGGCGATAAGCATGAACGCGCCCTCTAAGTACGATGATTTATGAGTTAACGTTTAGCTTGGATTGTTTACGTTACATTTGTAAGAAGTATCGAACGAATAGTCTTTGTTCATTTTATAGTTTCAAGAACTCGCAACAAGGCATTTGAATATCGCCTACAAATCAGTTATTTCAATTTTATGCCGATAAAACGAAAAGTATTTACAATTTTGATAAACAGTTTCAACATCAAAATGTACATTACTTTAGAATAAACATAAACTATATATTCACTAGTTAGCATACAAGAAAATAATATAAAAAAATATTTTGTTCGTGAGTTTGAATTTAGAACGACCGTTACACTGCGCGGATTTTTTTTTTATTTCTTCAAAAATACTAGCTGAAGAGAAGAGAAAGAGATTCTCTGTATTCGAAATATTAATCTGAATAATTTATTCAATAATCATTACTTAAAACATTACAATTATTATCGAAATTATCACAATGAAAACAGAAGCCACGAATCCTTTTTTTGTTTTTTTTACGAGGTCGTGAGCAAATTAATTCTAAAAAAAAAAATTTGACGGAAAAATGTATTTAACTTACCCAGGCCAGTCATGGTGTTTATTTCTTAAAAACCACTGAAGAACACTTAAAATAGTCTGAATACACTTAACGTACGTCCACTTAACATATATATATATATATATAGTGATCTGTGCAAGGGACGGCGAACGACGAACTTACACAGACAACGGTATAAATATTTCATATGGCAGTTGACGTAATCAATGGCTAGACAGCTAGCCTGTTCTCTTCTCTACAAATTGATATAAGAATGTAGGTGATAGCAAAAACAATGAATGTTATTGAATGAATTTAAGTTTAGATTTAGAGAATCGTGTTAGAATCGACACCAGCGCATCTTTATCATTCCTTACACTGATGTTAAATTTAGTTTTAGAGAATTATACCAGAATCGACACCAATATCAAAAAAAAATGTGAATAGGCCGACTGAAGTGAATGGACCTTTCAAGTAAACCACAGAGTCAAACCATAGAGTAATACAAACAAAACGAAAAGAACGAGCGAGATGGAGCGAAACTACTCCTCGCTCTCGCTTGCTCATTCACGACTACCGAGGTGAGGAGCCGATCCGTCCGAAAAGAAAAATGGCAAAATGGTGCTGTGGTGTCTAGAAAGGTTAGTGAATTGTTGTAGTTTAAACCATATCTTCTATTTCGCTATTCGAAAATTATATTCACCATTTTCTTTGTATATAATTCGTAGTGATATAATGATCTTCACCAGCATTATCAGAAAATATTAAACCATGTCGAACGGGCGCGACTCTATGATGGCAATGATCGGGCGATGGCGATCGCTTTGTTCGCCGAACTCCACGTGCCTTCCGCCATTAAAATATTCTTTGAAAATTTATTTGTGGAAGCTAACTAGGAAATGTTTTCGTATTTTCGAATATAGACAGCTCTTGTAATATTTTTACGGTAACTGACAAATTATGGATCGTATGTCAAGTAAAATGGTAGTATGCGGTTTGGCTAGTCGGCGTGGTCGGGCGGGCGGTGGCGATTGCGGCTATCATGACGATGCCGGTAACGGTGAAGTCTGAGGTTGTGCTGACTGAGCCCTGAGTTATGGTGTTGCAGGTGAAAATCGACTGCCGTCGCAGCCCATGGCGGCCGGAGGAGAGTTTGTCGAGGGCTGGCTGGTGGCGCAGGTGCTTGGGGAAGGTGCTTACGGAGAGTGAGTATCGGCATCAGTTTATTTGTGCAGTTCATACTTATTTACGTTATGAACTTATACGGTGGAAACCTATGATTGTTATTGATGTCTACATCGATTTATTTTAAGCATTGTGGACACGGTGGATTGATTTTATGCTAAAGGTTTATGTACACGTATATACATACAGTAAGTGCTTCCCATACATTGACTTGACCACAGATGATCAGAATTATGGTGAAACTTCTGTAAGTTTAGGGTAAATTATAGAACTTTTTTTTATTATGAAGTCGAGCAGAATTTTTTTTTAACGTGCGTATTTGTAAATAATTGAATATTTTTAACGATTGTATGGTGTTTTCATGTAAAGGACATAAAAATTCACTCAGTATGTACCTTTCATTTTAACTTCAATCTCAAAGATAGTTTACAAAACATGAAATACTTTTACAGCAGATAAATAATAGATAAAGCAGATATTAATAGGCAAAGCAGACAATATGTAATTTAAGTACAAAATAGTAAAAGATGCAAGGAGAATTTATCCTAAGAATAATTTATTGTTATTTCACCAGACTTATTTCCCTTTCACCATTAATTGGCTTACACTACTACATATTATATGCAAAGACGGATTTTATTATAATACATTATGTATTTTCTATCAATAAGCTTTCTTGTTTATAGTGAATTTATGAACTGAAATATATTCAGTAATACAGGACTAATTATTCAAAAGAAAATATGCCTTTATAAAATTATTGGTTTACAATATTGTAGTTTAGTACCTTTGTAGTTTACACACCAGGTGCTGCAATGACCCAGAGTTCTACTTTTACTAATTCTGCGCTCCTTTTTATTTAACATTTGAGAAAGAGTTGATGCTCACATCAGCCTTGACACTTGGATCAATGTAGATGTAAACTATTAAACATCTTCATTTAATTTCATTGTATTAATCAATAAAAAGTAAAACTTACTCGTGAATGGACAATGGGAGTAAGCTAAATAATGTATGGATTTATGATATACCCAAATTGCTAACTTTATCTTTTATTCCATTAACATACTAAAACCGTGTATTTTTTAAATAGCTACAGCAATTAAAATACAAATTGATATTTCTTTTCATAGGATCCGAAAATTTTATTAGAATCTGCTAATTTTCTTATTTCCCATTGTATGCTTGCAGCAATTCCCATGGTAGCTAATATAATCCTTTGTGGATCAGCCAGAGCACCATCTTTTATTTTAAGCATTTAACTGCTTGTTGTTTAAATCTGAAGAAAATTTTACTAGAAAAAATTCCATGCAGTCCAGGCAGGAGACATACCTCGAGCCAACCGACCCTCCACTATCCATGCGGATGCACTGACCATTATGCTACTGCAGCCCTAATTGTCTGTGTAATTTCCCTAGTATTTCTTGGCTGCAGAACACTATCTATGAAGGTCAATAATAGTTTTTTTTTGGATGAAGATACGTAGTAAAGTTTCACTGTGAGCACAGTTCTGCATCATACTGCATTCAATCTACTTATTTAATTAGCTGTATATCGTTCAGGTTAGGAAAGATTTTACCTTGATTTGCACCGAGAAGAAAAAAAAGAACGAAGGTAGGTTGGACAGAGTAGGCGCACTGCGCGCAGGGTAAGTGCGTTTTTACACCGTGTTCTTCACGTCAGACCGTTAGGACTACGGTGGAGGCTCGTTACCGACACCGGCGCTCGCGACGTTTTGGCATCATGAACAAGCTTGGCTGACCCGGGTAACAAGCGCCCTGATAGTTTGAATAGTGGCTTGGATATTGTCGGTTCGGCGAGTGGTGGCCGGCTCTGCTATGGCGGCGCCTCGTGGTCGCGGCGTGGCGGCCGGCGCTGTAAGTGTAGGTGTAGTCAGACGCGGAACTAGCAGAGTGCAGTTGGTGATGAAAAAATCTGTGACGGCGGCGCGCGCGGCGCATCCTTGAAAGTTTAACCACCCCGCGCCGGTCACTGCCGCCGCTACGCCACTCCGCCGGCCGCTTGTTTTTCTACAACTCGTTATTTTCGGCTCACACCTTTGCATAATAGCTCATTATGTTTGCACTGCCACTTGAAAGTTTCATAGTTTCCTTTGAGCGTTATTGCCTACCTATTATTATTTATTACTTATAACGCTGCATAAAAATCATGGCTAGCAAAATTTTGTTTCGACCTCGTTCTTTAACCCCGATAGTTATCGGTGCGAGATGGATGATTTGTGATGCGATTTATTTTAATATTTGCATTGATGCAATACAATATGTATTTACTTAAAATATTTCGAAATTAATAGTTTTATCGAGTAGGGTTTGAAGAATATACAGCCAAGCCAGATTTCAAACTCAAACACAATAAGAAATCCCCTTTGGCGATCTGTGGTTGGTGTATAAATTTAAGATGTGTAATATTCGAACAAAGGCCTATTAGAACTTCATTAGTCTTTAAAAATCGTGCCGTTCACCGGTGTGCGCTACCTATGATCCGTGCAGAAACAACAGTTCGTTTGGTACAAGTTGTTGTGTCTGTGGGTCAATAATTCCCAGCAAGTACCATAATTATCGTTCGATATGTTCAAATGGAGACATGGAATTCAATGGACATCGTCAAATGTGCTGGGAGCCGCTGGATGATAGCGCCGCGGATAGCGCATTGTGGCGGTCTATGGGGGAGGCCTATGTCCAGCAATGGACGGAGAAAGGCTGATGGATGGATGGATGTCCATATTCCGAATTCATTGGTCACCTCTCCTTGAACTTTAACCACGGTCCTGCTGTTTCTCGTGGCGTCTTAGATCATAGCTATTAATTTTGATGGAATATAAAACATTGTCAACTTAAATACAGAGTCCTTCGGTCAATACTATCTTAATGGCTTGGCAAAGTCCACAAGAAGCACACAGATACTCTGTGCATAGCATACTCCCACTTCTTCTCCATGAGATGTCTAAGAAGGAAAATTTGGTAGGTAAATTGTACTTCGGCTGTATATGCTGCTATATCGGCTGTACCACACCGGTAGTCTCCAATAGTACCCTCAGCATATTGTTCTAGTCTCTTCAACAGTACGTAGGAGGGAATTTTGTGCGTAGTCGGTAGCAGTGATGACAGCTATTTTAACACGCTTTTATTTACTTTCACCGTTGACGTACATATCGGTGGATGCTGATGGATTTAGTTCACAATTCAATTTCGGTCTGGTCACCAACGAATTAAAAGTAATATGCAGTATAGGTCCAAAGACGGACAACAAATTTATTTATTTATTTTAATCCAACCAAACGGGAACGGCCTACTTTCTGTCGCATCGTGTATCTTCGCGACTTGACTCTACTTTTACTTAAAATTACTTAATTTTCTATCTATAATATATAAAAATGAATCGCCGAATGTGTTGCTAAGCGCAAATCTCGAGAACAGCTGAAAAGATTTCGATAATTCTTTTTTAGAATATTTCTTGAAGTACGAGGATGGTTGTTACGTACAGAAAAATTAATAAAATTGCCTGAAAAAGTACAAAAACAACACTTCTATACTCCCATACAAACGATTAGTAATAATACTTAAAAGTCAATTGGAACTTTAATACCATACCATAAAATTCAAATGTTAGTGGAGAGGTTCCGGGAAAGCAAAACAATTGAGTGACGTGATGTCAATTGAAGTTTGGAAAAAGCAAATATACCATTTTCAGATTTTTTTATTGAGACTTATTTTTAAAAGTATAAGTTTTCGACGAAAATTTAATGATTATCTTTATATATATAATTCTTCTGTGAGTGTGTATGTCACTGAACTTCTCTTAAACGACTGGACCGATTTTGATGAAATTTTTTGTGTGTGTTCAAGGGGATCCGAGAATGGTTTAGATTCACAATTTTGTCCGCTGGACAACCCCTATTTTTTTAGGGCGGTACGAAGTTCGCTGGGTCAGCTAGTAATTTATAATTCTCAAACTCAAATATTTTTAATTTGTATGTTGTATCATTTTATTGTAATTATTACTAACATAGTTTAAGTTGAATCGTTACTTACACATTATGGACTACATTTCGATTACGGAATAAATTATTATTGATATCGCTCAGTCCCTGCTAACTTCCCACCAAACCATCACTAAAGTTGGATAATTCTGTCCACCTTATTCTGCTGACTAATTAGGAAGCTTTTATAGAGCTTCGAGCATATACTTGCTTATTCTACGTGTAAAAACATTGTTCAATAGTAAAAAAGTTCCCGTCAGTAAATAAAATTTTATAGGGGATCAACTCTTCCGCATTTCCGCACCCAGCAGCCTTCCGGCCAAGCCGGGGTTCCACGGCAGGGGTATCGCGGGGACCCCGCTGACGAGCGCAGGCTGGGGTGCGCGTGGGGGCCGAGTACGCGGCCTAGTGCCCACCGTATCGGTCCCCAGGGCGCGGACTACAAGAGGGGGGCTGCCGTCACGGGATCCCGCGGGCAGGGTCATGGGGTGTTACAGTACCTAGTTGATAGCTTATGTATGCGTCCGGTGGTTACATAGTATGGTATGGGCACGGTAATAATATCATACAGTATTCTATCTTCATACAAACGGTCGGAAAGCGAGTCATACCTACGCCACTCGAGTTCGATGTGCTCTCGGCGGGCATCCAGTCGCGAATGCGCCGCAACGACGACCGAACGGTCTGAATTGTTTTTTATGCAGTTAGCCGTGCTTAAACGTGCGTTTTGTATTGTAAATATTTGATTTAATTAAGTAGATACCTACATAATTTAGTATGGAAAAGAACAAACGACGATCGATATCGTACAACAGCACAATTGCTGTTTTTGGTCGCTCGAACTCTTCAATAACACACCCGGAGATATCATTTTTTAAATTACCTGAAATATTGGAAAGGTGTCTTACCTTTATAGAATATTTTTTATAAGACCTATCTACTAGTATGTAATTTGTTTCTAATATTTAGGTATTTCGGTTTTTCCATCGGGCAAAATATCTGGAATTATATATAAACTAGCAAACCAGTGAACCAAATGTTCACCAAAACCTGTTTTTAAAAAAAATGTATTTAATTAATTGAGAACTTTGGAGATTTTGTGTGGTTTCGTTTGAAATTCGTGATTTCTCGAAAACCGGAAGTGCTACGTTACTCAAATTCGGTTTGTAGTCTTATCAGACTATTCTTAACTTATAACTTAAACATTCTCTTTATCTATCTCTTACGGTTTGGCCGCTGAAACAGCACCACAGACGGACGGACGGACTTGTCTAATAGATAAGAGATAAGTGGTTAGGATGAAAAAAGAGACAAACGAGTAATCTACCTACACTCGCGTTAAAAACAAAACTACATAAAATACAGTATTTATTTATTTTGGTTACATGGAAGACCAACAGCTTATCATTTCTAGTATATTAAGATAAGCTGTTGGTCTTCCATGTAACCAAAATAAATAAATACTGTAGCCGGGCGGCCCTAACGCGCGCTAACGCAGCGCTCGGCCGTAGGCATTTATTTTCAAGGACAGGGCGGAGTCACAACACTGTAAGGGTCAACTCACACCGAAAGAGCGGCGAAGGGCAGCGAAGCGCAGCGACCCGCTCGGTAGTCGTTCGAGTTTTTCATGCGATAATAAGTATTATAGTAATGAAAATAAAGTTATAATTCATATGACACTGAATCTGCGCTCCGCTTCGACGCTCTTTCGGTGTGAGTTGAGCCTAAAGATAATATTACCGTGGTATGGGTATGGGCAGGGTTCGGCTCCTGGTGCACGGGCGGTCGGGCGCGTGCGTGGCGCTGAAGGCCGTGGAGGCGGGCGAGAGTCAAGGCGCGGGCTCGCGCGAGGCCGCCATCCACCGCGCGCTGCGGCACCCGCACGTGCTGCGCTGCCTGGGCGAGCGCCGACATCTGCAGCGTCACTATCTGTTTCTGGAGTACGCGCAGGGGGGCGAGCTGTTCGACCGCATCGGTGACTACCTCCGATCCTTTATTCCCAGTCCCTTAAGCAGGAATTTCCACCGAAGGCCAATGGGAATAAAAAAAGAAGTGGGGGCAGTTACGTCGTTCCCTTTCTTCTTCGTTCTTCGTTACCTTCGGTGGTGATCCCCGCGGAAGAGACTGATAATAAGGCTCGACTCACACTGGCGCAGGGTCGCGTCGCGTCATGTTTTTCGTCTTGGGACTACCTTAACAGTGGGAAAATAGAGATGAATCTGCTACAGACGAAACATGAAACTTGGTATAAAGAAGTCGCGCATCGGCGAGCGTCGTTGTCGTCGTCGACGCACGTCATATAAGTAGGAATACCTTAATAGTAAGAAAAAGGAGATGAATTTGCTACAGGCCTAAAGCGTCGCTTCGACTCTGCGCCGGTGTGAGTTGAGCCTAAAGGGCTGTAATGATATATATACCACCAGCCTCCTTATTAATAGTATATTTTACATACATAACATATACGAGGATATTCATCCATTGAAAGACTTACTATTCGCACAAGAAATTTATTCGCAGGCTAAGTTTTTCTTGCGCTTCCTAGTTTTAACATGGAGACAACCCTCATACCATCTCATAGATCACCTGATAGCTGCAGCTGTCGGTCGGTCCTCAATGTTACAAACACATGGCATTACAGTTGATGTGATAATTGCAATAGGCTCCCCGATATCCGAAACATTGCTCGCGGAATACGTCGGACTGATTTATGTTTTAAAGCCTCTACAACTTGCAAGTGATTCAGGAATTCGTTTGAAGACATTTAATGCACTGTGTCAGTCTTTTATTACTTCTGCTATAGACGAAAGCAAAACTTACATGATAGAAGCCAAACGTGCACATCGCGCTGTCTAAAAAGGTTATACTATTTCTTCCATTCAGGTATGCTACCACAGACGCCTATGACAAGTCCAGGGTATTAAGTGTATGTATGTTTACCAGTGCATAAAAAGATTTCACAAGAATTTTGAAACAACAATGCAGGGTGCGCTCAAAAAAAGAACAAACATAGACAAATAAAGAATTCTTAGGACAGTCAGCTCTTTTGCAGAGACAGTTTTGTTACTAGTATACTTATCAGTACATAGTATAAAGCAAAGTCGATTTCCGCTGTCTGTCCTTATGTCTGCTTAGAACTTTAAAACTACGCAACATATTTTGATGCTGTTTTTTTAATAGGTAGAATGATTCAAGAGGAAGATTTATAATACATGCATAATATAGTAGAAAAACACTGATAATTTTAGAAGCTTTTAATGTAAGGTCGTAAATAAATACATTTTTTGCGCTTACATTGCAAAAAAAAAATTGCTTGCTGAACCCTACGAGATAGATGAAAATAATGTACTACAGCAATATACACCTTAAAAAGGTCTACAAAAATGGCCGCTATGGCATATGTCTATCTTGGTTGGTTACTTTTCACCAAAATGGACATAGAAACATAATTTACATTTTCGTGAGCTCAAACTCGTACTTAGGGTACTGATTTAAAATGCAGGGACATCGCGGTTCCGACCCTACCAGGCGTGGGGCCTGGCGGCGCGTGCCTATTGCAATTAGGTATTGGAATAATGTCATTGTGTATAATACAAGCCTGAGAAGAAAAACTATAGTCTACACCGAAGCGAAGTGAGGGCGGGTCACTAGTTATACAATAAACTGAATAGAACGCTTCGGACTAAGAACTTAAGTAACAATCATATTAAAGTTATGTTTTTATTCATTTTTAAGCATACAATGCGATTTGACATTGTGGGTTATCTACAATGCGAATAGATGGCGCCGCCTTGCAGCTTAAGGCTAGGAATAGGGCTATGGTAGCATAATCGGTCAGTACACTCGCCTGGATTGCGAAGGGTACGGGTTCGAGTCCCGTCCGCTGCATGGTCCGCGTGGATTTGTTTCTAGTAAAACTTTTCTTTAGATTTACAATCATATCAAAAGTAAGATAATTAACTGGCTCAAGACATACTATCACAAAGGTGTAGAGTCTCGTTCATAGCATCTCGATATAATAAACTCGCGGCCCGCCCTCGCTTCGCTGCGGTGTAGAGCTAGAGTGTACGGAGAATCGTACCTATATGAGGTGTATCGTAATCCGTCCAGAGCCGGACGTGGGCATGAGCGAGGGCATGGCGCGGCGGTACTGGCGGCAGACGGTGGAGGGCGTGCGCTACCTGCACTCGCGGGGCGTCGCGCACCGGGACCTCAAGCCCGAGAACCTGCTGCTCGACGCGCACGATAACATCAAGATATCCGACTTCGGGATGGCCACCCTCTTCAGGTGAGGTGCGTCACCCTGCGTTTATTGAACTACGCTATTGTGTCAAATGAAACGTAAAGGAATCTGTATTTATTTTGGATAAGTACATTGTTTTCTTAAAATATTACTAATTTAGATCGGCAATCAACGGAGAAAAAATCATAGAAATATAGTTCAAAAATTTTTAATAAGGCACTCCTAGGATATAATTTCTAAATTGCTTCCTTTTTATTGGTTTCACTTACACCTTATTCAATTTTGTAAATCGATTCCAAGTGTATCTTTGCGGGAAGACGAAGACCGAAGTTAAACTTCGTACGTAACGCACTCGATGCACGGACGAGTCGCGATGCGGAGGCGGGTGCTGCAGTGTAGTGTGTGGTTCGCAGACACGGCGCGACGGAGCGGCTCCTGACGCGCGTGTGCGGGACCCTGCCCTACGCCGCGCCCGAGGTGCTGCGCCCGCCCTACCGCGCCCCGCCCGCAGACCTGTGGGCCGCGGGGCTCGTGCTGGCCGCCATGCTGGCCGGCGGTACTATACTATACTATACTATACACACACGCAGGCACGGCGCGCTGCCCTACGCCGCGCCCGAGGTGCTGCGCCCGCCCTACCGCGCCCCGCCCGCAGACCTGTGGGCCGCGGGGCTCGTGCTGGCCGCCATGCTGGCCGGCGGTACTATACTATACTATACTATACACACACGCAGGCACGGCGCGCTGCCCTACGCCGCGCCCGAGGTGCTGCGCCCGCCCTACCGCGCCCCGCCCGCAGACCTGTGGGCCGCGGGGCTCGTGCTGGCCGCCATGCTGGCCGGCGGTACTATACTATACTATACTATACACACACGCAGGCACGGCGCGCTGCCCTACGCCGCGCCCGAGGTGCTGCGCCCGCCCTACCGCGCCCCGCCCGCAGACCTGTGGGCCGCGGGGCTCGTGCTGGCCGCCATGCTGGCCGGCGGTACTATACTATACTATACTATACACACACGCAGGCACGGCGCGCTGCCCTACGCCGCGCCCGAGGTGCTGCGCCCGCCCTACCGCGCCCCGCCCGCAGACCTGTGGGCCGCGGGGCTCGTGCTGGCCGCCATGCTGGCCGGCGGTACTATACTATACTATACTATACACACACGCAGGCACGGCGCGCTGCCCTACGCCGCGCCCGAGGTGCTGCGCCCGCCCTACCGCGCCCCGCCCGCAGACCTGTGGGCCGCGGGGCTCGTGCTGGCCGCCATGCTGGCCGGCGGTACTATACTATACTATACTATACACACACGCAGGCACGGCGCGCTGCCCTACGCCGCGCCCGAGGTGCTGCGCCCGCCCTACCGCGCCCCGCCCGCAGACCTGTGGGCCGCGGGGCTCGTGCTGGCCGCCATGCTGGCCGGCGGTACTATACTATACTATACTATACACACACGCAGGCACGGCGCCGGCCTGTTTCCAACCCTGCATTACACACCACACCTCGCAAAGTAAATAAATGTGACGAATCGTAGCTCCCTATTCGCGAATGCGGTTACATCTGAGGATTTCATTAATTAGCCTTATATATAAATAAATTCTATTGACTGAGAAATGCATGTATTGGCAAATGAACTACACGGGACTCTTTCTAGTTTTCAAACCGTCCAAAGACATGTTTAATTATAATTATGTAACTGAGAAAGTTCAAACCGACCGAAACGCATAAACGTTCTAAACTACTGAGTAAAAGAAGACATAAAAAAAAATATGAATGTACTCGATCGCTTGTTTCGACGGCCTCTCCGCACCACTTGGCACCCGAACGAGAAGAGTCGTAGTTGTGACAAGGGGCGGCTCGCCTCTTTGGTATCCTAGCTGTAGGCAGTCGCGCGCCCTAAAGTTATGGTACCGAAGTTACGAGTCGCCGCGCATGCGCCGCACGCTGCCTGCTGCCTGCTGCCTGACGACTGTCGTCCGATGCCTGATACCTGATGCCTGACGCCGAGAGGTAAGCTTGTATATATCTCAGCAAACTTCTTGAGCGACCACGATAGACAAGAAAGCCCTGCGCAGTAGTATGGTTTTGCTCAAGAAGTTTGCCGCTAACTATACCATACTCTCAGAGCAGCCGCAATAGATGCCGCATATGGGGACATGCAAGGGGCTAATCGCCTAACGGGATTGCTATGGCTATCCCCTCCGCGGTATGTTGAGCCAAAGGTCGGAATGTCCAAGGTGACGAATGTCCGAATGTTATAGACTGTTAGTTGAATAGGCTAGTTGACTCTTTTTGGAAAAAAGTTTTAAATGGTTAATAAGTGTTCTATTAGACCAAAAAAATGTATTGTATTTTTTTGAGACCTAGAAAGCTACAAATCTTTAATTTTAAAATAGACTTTTCATGGACATACAAAAACGCTGTCGGCCATTTTAGTCTATAGATTATCTATGCTACGACGTCAGCTGGTAGTAAACAAAAACTCGTAAGCACGTAGAAAATAACCTATCAGATTTTATAATAAAAAAAAACATGATTTTTAATAAATACCACGAAAAAAATAGTAATTATCAATATTGTGTTGTATTAAGTTATTGACAGCAATCTTCTACTTTTATGAAGTGAAATCTATATTTTTAGGTTCCTTAGACCAAATACTTTCAGAAATAAACATTAATTTAATACAATTCGATATGAGTCAACTAGCCTATTACCGGCGATACAGTTTCAAACAAACATTTAGTAATGCGGAATCTACTGCGGATGGTCTGTGAGCAACCCCTATCTCACAGCACATTGCACGGCACCGAGGCGCGCGCGCTAAAACTCGTCTAATTCCGCCACTTCACATGGCTATTTGTTTTGCTATTTGTAATCTTAACATCAGTCCGTTCTTTTCATTCCATAAAACAGGGCTTGTTTACCGGTTAATTTTAAAACCTAAATCAGTGTCAAGTACTTTAGGAGCGTTTTATTTAGGTTTGGCTCTACCTTAACCTTAAAAAAACCGGTTTTCCTAAAAAACTAAATCAAATAGGTTTTGAATCAATTTAGCGGTTTTGAAGGGTTTCATTTCGCTCTTACTGAAGGCATCGATAATAAATGAATAACTCGACTCACTAGATGCTAGCAAACATTAACAAGTTGTGACTTGATTAGTTCAAACAAAACAAACTTCAAGCGATGCCGACGCGTGCACGTGTCGGTTTATTAAGGTTTTAGGTACCGCTTTTATTTCGGACGCGCTCCGAACGAAACCTTTACTAAAAACCGGTATTAACCTTTATTTACCGGTATTTTCGAAACCGCTTTCAAGCCCTGCCATAAAACAAAATGACAAGGAGAGACCGTTGTCAAGTTTACAAATAGCAAACGCCAATATCCAAGTGAAGTCCCGGCATGACGCCTAGATATTCCGATGCATTGACTAATATAAAAAAAAAGTGCAAAATCGAAAACATTACTTCATCAAAATTATCTTTTAAGTCTGAAGAAGGCAACACCTTGTGTGCAAAAAAAAAATATTGGAAAATATAAAAAGAAACAATTGTTAAAAATTTACAGCGAGATATGAGAACTTTGCCTATGTTTTTGCCTTATACGGTGCACGCCTCTGCCCCTGCATGTATTTTTTTCATTGCCCAAACTTAGTGTTACGCACGCGCCGTGTCACTAAGCGCACGTGAGCTCGATTGTTGCGTGTCTAACTTACTATAACGCCAGCATTCAAACTACAGCACCACGCTATTTATCAGTCGCATCGTGCTATAAAGAGATATACACGGCTAGCTTCGGCTTCTTTCGACTTTGTAGAGCGTCATCTCTGTCACACGAAACACTACACACACAGTCTGGTATCTATTAAGAGTTAAGTTTTTTTTTAGAAATCATTATAAAAAGAATACATGTAGATGTATACTATGTATGTAAATTCATTTATTTTAATGAAAAACTATATTTTTATTTCCAACCAAATAACAAAAAACTAATAAATATGCGAAGCCTCTCATAAAATAATTACTGCCATCATAATCCTTAATTTTTTTTCTTTCACGAAATATTTATATTTGTTTTAGCAACTTATATATATTTTAAGAAGAACGCGACTGCTCTTTAGCGACGTTGAACTACGACTGTCAGTCGGCGACTAAAGTGACAGAGACGGCGCTATACGAAGCCGAAGCTAGCCGAGTATCTCTTTCTAAAGCTCGATGCGACTTATAAATGGCCGGGTACTGTACCTAATGATCACTGAAACTTTCAACACATTTGTTTCACTCGAGTAACCCCCCTCTTTGAACCTTGTCACAAGTCAAGTCATTGATTTTAAATTGTATAAATCCATTATGTAAAGATAAATTGTGATGTGAAACGTTCCGGCGAAACAATGGATCTTACTCAATATGTCACTGTTCTCATAATGATACATGCACTGTCATGGTAGATAATACACTTACTACATAGGTACTATATTTATAATTTGTATACTTTCTGTCAAATTTTCTGAAGATTAAATAGACGATTGTTGTTGTATGAAGTATTTATAGAATTGGTAATGTTTTATGAAAATTTGTTAAATTTTTTAATACTTGTTTTATTTGTAGGAGTAAAAACATGACATGTCGCCCATTTGTCTGTATATTTTTATTTCATAGCCTCCAACTCTAGCTGTCTAAATGTAGGCAACATGTCGTGTATTACACAAATACTGCGCATGTTTTCTGTATTAAACCTCGGTTCATAAAAATTATGGAGCTTTTCAGTAAGTATTCTAAAATTCACTTCAAAAAGTTTTACTATCGCTCTCTATGAATAATTATCTATGACGCTGTAACACCGAAAAGCTCTATTTTTTATAAACGGAGCACCTTTTATGTGATTGAATTCTTTTGTGAAATCAAATGAGTTGTGGATCTGTCATGTTTGGTTGTCAATCGCTTGGTTCTTTCGACAGGACTTCTCTTTGATATTAGATGCAGATGATGCAAGCAATAACAGCCTTACTGCCGCATTCAAAACAGTCTATTAATTGGTTTGGATGCTGCCACTTTACAATAACAGTGATTTAATGAAGCATTTAATTAATTTGCCATTTCTGAACGCGGCTGTTAATGTACGAGTTCATCAAGTTGAGACTAAAATTAAATAAACTTGTTTGCTCTTTTATTTGTATTTCTTTTACTAACATCCTAAAACAAATTTCAGAATGAGACTGCTTTAGAATATTGTAGTATGTCGTGTTTTATCGATGCTGGCATGTGATATTGTAAAGTTGCTTCTGTAGTTTTTTGTATATCTTAAAATGTATTCGCGAATCGGTCGGCGGCGGACTTTCTATATGTGATGAATTTAAAAACTCATGGCAAACACACATACACTATACATACATTTTTTATTATGTAAAATATAGGATATTAGTATATTAGGAGGCGGCCTTCGAGCCGTCTACTGTTTCATATTTAAAAATATGTTAAAGAATCAAATTTTCATCATACTTCGGGGGAAGCGGCTCCCATAGTCTCAAAAGATGGAAGCGAGACTAGATATATTGTTCGAGTCCGTTTTGACATTTAGCATAGTTGTAATTTTAAGGGTCGCTTTAAACCGTCCGTTTCGGCCCGGTGAGGAGTCGGTAGTGTTTTGCATTCGCGCCGGGCTCGACAAGTTAGTATTCCGTCTAGGGAAGGCGCCGGTTTAGCAGCGCGGCGACATGAATAATGGGCTCGATGAGTTTAAATTTTATTTCACATTATGACTTTATTAAAACGTTGTGTAATATTAGCCGAGCGTACGGCATCGCATCGGTGGTTCGAGTCGGAGCGGGGGTGTGATTCGGTCAATGTCGTCGTGTGCAGAGTTGCCGTGGGAGCGCGCGTGCCCGGAGGACGCTCGCTACGCGGCGTGGGCCGCCTGGGTCGACGGCGCCGCCGGGGAGGGTGACGCCCCGCCCCCGCCCCCGCCCCCGCCCTTCAACAAGGTGTCCCGCGCCGCGCTGCACGTGGTGCGCCGCGTGCTGGCGCCCGCCCCGCGCCGCCGCCCCACGCTGGCGCGCCTGCTCGCGCACTCCTGGCTCACGGAGGGCGGCCCCACGCACGCAGGTGAGTGAGGCGGAGGCCGATTGTGCCTCTTTGTCGCTCGTTGCGCGCGCGCACTTCGAGCCTGAAATGGAACGCCTCGGAGCGAGGTAACGCCGCATGAGTCACGTTTTTTCGTGCGTGCAGTCGGCTCCATCGAATTATAAGACGTTGTTGCGTCAAAAGTTTGTGTTGCGTTTCCATAGTGAGCAGTGTCTAAACTACTAACAAACGCGACTACTTTTTGTCCCATATTGTAAGAATACAACATCGTGTATAGTTTAATAACGATTAAACTGGATTAAATATCAATTTTAGCTATTGTTAGTACCGTTAGTAAGTTTTTGTGGTTAATAATTAAAAACACCCCCTAGTGTTTTTAATTATGTGACCGCCACTGTATAAGAATGCTATGAGTAGTCAAATTTAAGAAATGAACAAATTTGTTTGATAATGTGATGCCTCAACGATGACATTGTAAATTAGGTTTTACGTCTGGCTTTAAAGTTTCATTTGTTAGTATCCAATTTTATATTTTAAGTTACTAAAGACCTAAAAAATAACAACACCATTTGTACATATAAATTGTAATTTTAGCATCTGATCAAACTATTATACGTATTGTCATCTTGCTCCTATTATTCAATACAAATTTAGTAGCGTATTATGAACTTATGAAGCACATTCAAAATCATGTGTTCAATCCAGGCTCTTACGAGCTCTCGTAAAACGTCAACTCTATGCCATCGGTTCGTAAATCCAAAGCGGGAGACCTTCTACTGAGAGGAGTGTCAAGATGATGATCGTAGCCTAGTATCCTGTGAAGCGTCATGATCCAGAGTTATTGCGCGGGCGGTGCGTGGTGCGTGGTGCCAGGTACTAGGTGACTCTGAGTGGCGCGCGGTCTCAGAGCCGCCTGGTGCCTCAGCACACCGCCGCCGCTATACTGCCGCCCTCACTATACTGCCGCCGCTGTACTGCCGCCCTCACTATGCTGCCGCCGCTGTACTGCCGTCTTCGTCGCAGCACGCTGTCACGCACGCGCAGCGCGGCGCTTTGGCGATTTAGCTCCGTGACGTGATACAAGCTCATAAAGCTAGATTACCAAAGCACTGCGCCGTCGCAATCTCGACGCGCCGACGAACGAGAAGACGACGAATAGATGTTAAACCTGGACGATCAGTGGGGTTAGGCGAGCGTTCGCAAGTATTCAATTCTCTTGCAAAATCATTTTAACCCCATATGACGGCCCAGTTTTGTTACCGTTTTTTTAATACTTATATGTCTGCCATATTCGTATAATAATTCGTATAATAATTTACCCCTTTATCTGCGGTCACTTCCTGAATATAAGTTTGCAAGGTCTCTGAAGCAATGGTTATTATATAATGCATTTTATAATCTAAATGAATATTTTAATAATAATGTTTTGTGAATATGACTATTGCATGCCCGATTAGGGTAACTGTTTATTTCAATTGTGTGCACTAACATCTAGCAGTATCACTAAATGTAACAGTTCTGCAATAAAGAATTATTCTATTCTAATAAGACTGGTACTCGATGTAATTAGAATTCATATAGGAAATAAAACAACAAATCTGTGTAGTACCTTGAAGTTTAATGGAAAATTTTATAATTTACTGTCTTTTTATTTTTGATTGTTCTCATCTCTGTATAATCAAATTGATTAATGTTAATATAATAATTTGTATGTTTGTAATAATTGAATTACATTATATTTTTAATTGTAAAATATGTTTATATGTATTACGAGTAAATGTTTTAAACAGATGTAGTATATTATATGTTTAAGCATTAACTGCTACATGTTTAAATGTAAAGAAAATTTTACTTGAAACAAGCGTCTACTGCCTAGTAAAATTTTCTACAGATTGTAGTATGTTTTAGTTTCCCTCACTAACCAAGTTGCACGTCCATGATTATTGTATCACAATCGATTTAAAAGTCAACACTTAAGTATTGACTTCTAAATGGAGAAAGAAATCTCTTATTAAAGTGTTGGGTTTCCTTGACATGTCAGAGAGCGGGCGGCTGTGGCGGTCGCAGCCGGCCGCGGCGGGCGCGGGCGACCACGACCACGACCGCGACCGCGACCAGTGCGACGGAGCCCTGAGCGCGGCGGCCGGCGCTGTGGACGCGCTCATGTCGCACTCCCAACCCGCGCACGTGGACGATCTGCTGCTGGCCTCGCAGCTGTCCCCGCCCTGCACGCAGCCGGTATGTGCCGTCCTGTACCGCCCTCCTGACGACAATCTACTTAAATCACATACAAAATATGACGTCTATAAAGATGGCGGTGTTAAGTTCCAATTTTCGTAGAGATCCTTGTCGCACCAGTTAGTTATATTATGATTGCATTGCGGAGGAGGGCGAGGTTGTTGATGTATACGTATGTGATGCGACAGGACATCTCGGGTCGCGTGGTGCGGCGCATGACGCGGCTCCGCGTGCGGGGCGACGAGGAGAGCGCGCTCCGGGCGCTGGGCGCCGCCGCGCTGCAGCTGGGGTACGCGGCCCGGAGGCTGCACCGACATGTGGTATGAGCTACGTGTACAGGGAGGGTCGCGTGGGGCGGCGCATGACGCATGACGCATGACGCGTGACGCGTGCGGGGCGACGAGGAGAGCGCGCTCCGGGCGCTGGGCGCCGCCGCGCTGCAGCTGGGGTACGCGGCCCGGAGGCTGCACCGACATGTGGTATGAGCTACGTGTACAGGGAGGGTCGCGTGGGGCGGCGCATGACGCATGACGCATGACGCGTGACGCGTGCGGGGCGACGAGGAGAGCGCGCTCCGGGCGCTGGGCGCCGCCGCGCTGCAGCTGGGGTACGCGGCCCGGAGGCTGCACCGACATGTGGTATGAGCTACGTGTACAGGGAGGGTCGCGTGGGGCGGCGCATGACGCATGACGCATGACGCGTGACGCGTGCGGGGCGACGAGGAGAGCGCGCTCCGGGCGCTGGGCGCCGCCGCGCTGCAGCTGGGGTACGCGGCCCGGAGGCTGCACCGACATGTGGTATGAGCTACGTGTACAGGGAGGGTCGCGTGGGGCGGCGCATGACGCATGACGCATGACGCGTGACGCGTGCGGGGCGACGAGGAGAGCGCGCTCCGGGCGCTGGGCGCCGCCGCGCTGCAGCTGGGGTACGCGGCCCGGAGGCTGCACCGACATGTGGTATGAGCTACGTGTACAGGGAGGGTCGCGTGGGGCGGCGCATGACGCATGACGCATGACGCGTGACGCGTGCGGGGCGACGAGGAGAGCGCGCTCCGGGCGCTGGGCGCCGCCGCGCTGCAGCTGGGGTACGCGGCCCGGAGGCTGCACCGACATGTGGTATGAGCTACGTGTACAGGGAGGGTCGCGTGGGGCGGCGCATGACGCATGACGCATGACGCGTGACGCGTGCGGGGCGACGAGGAGAGCGCGCTCCGGGCGCTGGGCGCCGCCGCGCTGCAGCTGGGGTACGCGGCCCGGAGGCTGCACCGACATGTGGTATGAGCTACGTGTACAGGGAGGGTCGCGTGGGGCGGCGCATGACGCATGACGCATGACGCGTGACGCGTGCGGGGCGACGAGGAGAGCGCGCTCCGGGCGCTGGGCGCCGCCGCGCTGCAGCTGGGGTACGCGGCCCGGAGGCTGCACCGACATGTGGTATGAGCTACGTGTACAGGGAGGGTCGCGTGGGGCGGCGCATGACGCATGACGCATGACGCGTGACGCGTGCGGGGCGACGAGGAGAGCGCGCTCCGGGCGCTGGGCGCCGCCGCGCTGCAGCTGGGGTACGCGGCCCGGAGGCTGCACCGACATGTGGTATGAGCTACGTGTACAGGGAGGGTCGCGTGGGGCGGCGCATGACGCATGACGCATGACGCGTGACGCGTGCGGGGCGACGAGGAGAGCGCGCTCCGGGCGCTGGGCGCCGCCGCGCTGCAGCTGGGGTACGCGGCCCGGAGGCTGCACCGACATGTGGTATGAGCTACGTGTACAGGGAGGGTCGCGTGGGGCGGCGCATGACGCATGACGCATGACGCGTGACGCGTGCGGGGCGACGAGGAGAGCGCGCTCCGGGCGCTGGGCGCCGCCGCGCTGCAGCTGGGGTACGCGGCCCGGAGGCTGCACCGACATGTGGTATGAGCTACGTGTACAGGGAGGGTCGCGTGGGGCGGCGCATGACGCATGACGCATGACGCGTGACGCGTGCGGGGCGACGAGGAGAGCGCGCTCCGGGCGCTGGGCGCCGCCGCGCTGCAGCTGGGGTACGCGGCCCGGAGGCTGCACCGACATGTGGTATGAGCTACGTGTACAGGGAGGGTCGCGTGGGGCGGCGCATGACGCATGACGCATGACGCGTGACGCGTGCGGGGCGACGAGGAGAGCGCGCTCCGGGCGCTGGGCGCCGCCGCGCTGCAGCTGGGGTACGCGGCCCGGAGGCTGCACCGACATGTGGTATGAGCTACGTGTACAGGGAGGGTCGCGTGGGGCGGCGCATGACGCATGACGCATGACGCATGACGCGGCTCCGCGTGCGGGGCGACGAGGAGAGCGCGCTCCGGGCGCTGGGCGCCGCCGCGCTGCAGCTGGGGTACGCGGCCCGGAGGCTGCACCGACATGTGGTATGAGCTACGTGTACAGGGAGGGTCGCGTGGGGCGGCGCATGACGCATGACGCATGACGCGTGACGCGTGCGGGGCGACGAGGAGAGCGCGCTCCGGGCGCTGGGCGCCGCCGCGCTGCAGCTGGGGTACGCGGCCCGGAGGCTGCACCGACATGTGGTATGAGCTACGTTTACCACTGTCAAGTTCACGAATACAAAATTCGAATAGCCATTTGAAGTGCTACCATTGCAAGTGGTAACTTGCGCGAGTATATCGCTGCATCTATTAGCTCCTATATTAAAGCGCCCATACACTCGTACTCGTACCGTTACAGTAGTGATCACCATCACTGATGTTTTCAGCTATAAAGTAAAATGTCGTTTTAATAAGACGACTTTATTTAAATTAATACGATCTTTTTATTACTAGTATTTAAACTAAAACTAAAAGTTCTTAGATTTCCTTTTTCGAGTACTCATTTTCTATACGTTTCATATGGTTTATTTCCTTGTTTTGTTTACAAATGTTTGGTATTTATTCTAAGATTAGCTCAATGCTAAAAAAACTTTTCAAGCGACATTTTGACAGATTGAGGTCATTGGCTTTTCTATTCTTATTTGAATCGCATAGTATTAAGTAGAATCGTATGTTTAGATGGCGATCGAGTGCGACTCCGAGGTGAAGATGCGAGCGTGGGTAGCGCGGGGCTCCGGCGGCGCCTTACTGCTGGAGTTCCGGCGCTCGCGGGGCTGCGGCCTCGAGTTCAAGCGGAGATACCTCAAGCTGCGAGAACAGCTCCAGCACCTCGCCATCCGGGACCACCGCCACCAGGAGGAACCCATGCAACATTGACCGACATGCACGGAAACTCATCAACGCCAAATTGTTCCCACCAATGTCAAGTCTCTGTTCGAGCGGACGAAACCCGCAGATGGGACTGCGGAAGATAACGTAAACGACGGAAGAATTTGTGGTTTCACTCTTCGCAGCGCCACTATACTGTAAAACGTTTATGACTGATGCTTGATGCCTTATTTTTGTATTATATAAAGATCGTACATTCCTAAGATTGTTTTTAAATTGGTTTTTTATTTAAACGTACCTACCTACTTATAAAATGTGAGAAGACTCCCTTCCAATATAGAATAGGAACTTATGAAATCTCCAAAGTAATTCGTTTAGATCAAAAAAATGCTAAGAAACGATACCAGAATAAACTAATAGTCAGTTCATACTATCGCAGTCGGAACGCGAAACAAATTTCTGAATCGATAACAGTAAATTCACTATGTGCGTGCCCTTCGAGCGGTCACTGTAGAAAACGTAGGTTTACTATACATACACAAATGAAAGATTTATTTTCTATAAATAGGGTGGATTTGTTACATCAGATAGGTTGGCCATCAAATATTAACAGCCTTACAAATACTAGAGGAAATTCGACACGGGCAATTAGGGCCGCAGTAGCATAATGGTTAGTGCATATATGCCCGGATAACCGAGGATTAGGGATGTCGAAAGTTGAAAAAAAATATCGATACATCGATTTTTTAAAAAATATCAATATCGGCTTCGATATATTGCGAAAAAAACATCGATATATCAGACCAATTTTCCCAAAAATATCGTACAGTATCTCACGAAATATGACGCGCGGAATAATAATGGAACGAAAATTATCTCCTTAAAAATGGACCCTATTTTCGAATGATGAAAATGATTGCAGAGCCTCAGGTAAATGATTGCAGGGTCTCTTTCGTAAACAAGACTAGACAGTCACACACTTTACAGAATATAATGGAAATCAGCACAACCAATTCACCAGCGACACAGATTTACAATTAGTAGACAATACTAAATACAGCACAGATGATAGATATGTTAAATATCATTAATCTGAGATCCAGTTACGATTTTTCCAGATACGAATTTAGTTGTGATATGCCGCTAATAATTAAAAAAAATCGTTTTTGATACGAATTTTGATATTGGTTATTTTGTATCGATACATCGATATATTTTCAACAAGCCTACCGAGGGTGCGAATTTGAGTCCCGTCTTCTGCCTAGTCTGCGTGGATTTTTTTCTAGGAAAATTTTCATAAACGTATTTATTTGCATTTGCGGTTTCGCGTGTAATAGTTATGCAGTACCCTTAGCACGAACCAATATCAAATTCGTAACGTTTGCAAGTCGGAAATGTCATTATCAAATGTGTACTGATTTTTAGTTCCCCTTACGTCTCCGTGTAGCGCTGTTGTTCAATTCTCCAACACCTCGTAAAATAGCTCCAAATGTAAAATTGTTACGTACTCTCGCAAACGTTTCTCATTAAAAATAGATTATAAGATGGCGACACCTCTGGCAACAGAGTTAGACGATCAATTAGGCGCTTTGCAGACGGCGGCGGCGACGATAGCACAAAGTGAATCCTATACTACAAACGCACACAGAGGGCAAAAAGACCATGGCATGTCCGCGGCTGCCCGCCGTGGATCATACAAACCAGTTTATATGCAATAATGCAGTAACGCAGACGGCGGCGCGGGGCGGTCAGCTCAGTCCGCGCCACGCGCTTTTTAGTGATGGACTATTCACTAGAACGAACGTCCTGAACTGACCACCTCTGCCCATCGTGTGCTTTGTGTACGCGGCGCGGGCAGCCGCAGACATCGACGGGCAGACGCGGTTTTTATTGCTTCGCGGACAAAATGCCCGCCCCGCCCCGTCGTCTGCAAAACGCCTAAATGGGACCCACGTAAGAATAAATATTCACTTACGGTGGAGCGCGTACAGCGAAACTGCACGTTGGCTTTACAAACGCCGTTATGGCTCTTATATCCCACACTTTTCATCACTGTTATGGTGGATCTTGTGACACTGCTGTTAGGCATAAAATGCTTAAGTTTGTATACTTCGCCTCCGTATTGCATCATAGGGTATATAGTAGCTTAGTGTCCAGGGTGAACCTATTAATACCTTCACGGACCTATCCTTTTAGGCGTTTAGCAGACGACGGGGCGGGGCGGGCCGGTCAATTTCGCCGCGAATAATAGCACAAAGTGAATCCTATACTTCAAACGCACACAGAGGGCAAAAAGACCGCGCCTTGGCTGCCCGGCGGGCAGTGGCGGCGCGGCATGTCCGCGGCTGCCCGCCGTGGATCATACAAACCAGTTTATATGCAGTAACGCGGCGGCGCGGGGCGGTCAGCTCAGTCCGCGCCACGCGCTTATTAGTGATGGACTATTCACTAGAACGAAGGTCCTAAACTGACCGCCTCTGCCCGTCGTGTGCTTTGTGTACGCGGCGCGGGCAGACGCGGTCTTTATTGCTTCGCGGACAAAATGCCCGACCCGCCCCGTCGTCTGCTCAACGCCTTACACGTTACCGCTACGCATGCACCCACCCTGCGCGTACTTCGCTTGATCGACAGCGTGCTCGCTCAGGGCGACCAAATAGATGTATATGCCGACCATTTCCAACATATTATTAAAGAAGCTTGTAAATTTCTAGTAAGTAAATATTGAATTAGAGTATGTTCAATTAATTTTATTATATTTATTAATTTAATTTTGTTGTGATGTATAATTTGTATTAAATTTTTAATTTTAATTAATGTGACCTGCTGATGCGTTGGAACTAGTTCTGTGAGTCAGCATATTTCTTATTCGCAAACTATTCGAATACGATATTGGTTCGTGCTAAACTGTGGTGCGAGGTGCTAGGGGTACTGTACTTAAGTTCAACATTTGACTATTTCTCAAAACAAAACAATGTCGCAAGTAAAAAAGAAGAGACGGCAATACTATCCGGAATATATTACATTTGGATTTATTGAAAATCCCCCAAACCTATCGTCGTTTTTGTGGCTTCTCTCTAAAAATATTTTCCAAAGAAGCCCCAAAGACTGCAAAATCATTTGAATAAAATGCATCATTTAATCATCATTATAAAAAGATTCTCAGCAATAGATCTAGTCTTGAGTATAGTCAGAAAAGGATAATGCTATATATGGCATATGGCGACATCCCTTTCTAAGGCCCGTATTATAGAAAGATTCTCAGTGATTGATCTATAGACCAGGGTCGATAATTTGTGAGACCAAAAAAAATTATAGTAGGATGAAACCCATTAGAAAAGGTAGAGAATATAACAAAAATGAAAGGAAAAATAAATTACGGCGATCTGAGGTCGGGAAGGGGGAGGGGGTGAGTTTTTAAGGGTAAAAAATGGTTAATCTCGATTTCCGGTAAAACTGCAAGTCCTATGAAAAAAAGTTAAATGGCAAAGTTGTAGGTAATAAAAAGATCTACAACTTTTGTATCGACACTTTTTTCACATAATCTCAAAATTTATGTGAAAAATGCGAATAACCGAGTTTTTGGTTTCTGATTTTTATTTTTTGCAAAAAAAAATATTTTTTCACGAAATTTGGTGAAAACTTACCTTTGTATGTCCCAAACATACAGTAATTTTTTTGATTTAAAATATTCGTTTTTTCACCTTATTTTGACTTAATATCGAAAAAGCACCCTTATTTTCAATCGAAAATTCTCACGTCAAAATATCTGCTTTTTTAAAAAAGTTGGTGTGCTTTTTGTTTGTTGAAATCTCTACTTTCTGATGGTATAAAAAAAATATACACTACTATGGTAAATATTCTCAGAAACTGCATATTAATAATGAAAAAAACTCCAATCCGAAAAATTGATTTGAATCATAATGTATTATTTTGAACTATTTATTAAAATTTACACTTTAATTACTCGAAAAACGTAAGATTTCATGTTATATTGATAAACAGAAAAATTACAAATCCATAAAACATGCAAAAATAGTTGTTGTAAGTAGGTATTAAAAATAGGATTTTCGGATTCGAGTTTTTTTCATTATTAATTTGCATTTTCTGAGAACATTTATCATAGTAGTGTATATTTTTTTTATACCATCAGAAAATAGAGATTTCAACAAACAAAAAACACCCCAACTTTTTTAAAAAAGCAGATATTTTGACGTGAGAATTTTCGATTGAAAATTAGGGTGCTTTTTGGATATTAAATCAAAATAACGTGAAAAAATGAATATTTTAAATCAAAAAAATTACTGTATGTTTGGGACACACAAAGGTAAGTTTTCACCAAATTTCGTGAAAAAATATTTTTTTTGCAAAAAATCAAAATCAAAAACCAAAAACTCGGTTATACGCATTTTTCACATAAATTTTGAGGTTATGTGAAAAAAGTGTCGATACAAAAGTTGTAGATCTTTTTATTACCTACAACTTTGCCATTTAACTTTTTTTCATAGGACTTGCAGTTTTACCGGAAATCGAGATTAACCATTTTTTACCCTTAAAAACTCACCCCCTCCCCCTTCCCGACCTCAGATCGCCCGTAATTTATTTTTCCTTTCATTTTTGTTATATTCTCTACCTTTTCTAATAGGTTTCATCCTACTATAATTTTTTTTCACTTTTCACCATTTTTAAAATTATCGACCCTGGTTTACTAGTCTTCAGCATAGTTAGAAAGCGATGTCGCTATATATAGCACATAGCGATATCCCTTTCTAACTGTACTCAAGTAAAAATCACACTTAATTGTCATTCTGCAATACGGGCCTAACTGTACTCAAGTAAACATCAACACTTAGTTGTCCTTCTGTAATACGGGCTTTAGGTCTTAGGCCTTAAGAGCAGAAGCATAGTACTCAGCCAAGTGTAGCAAAACTCTTTTCGGCGGCTGCTAATCAAGATGACGACGGACTTTGAGCTTAGTACAATATCTCCTTGTTGATTGCTCAAAAAGGCAAACCTCACATCGTCGGAGAAGAATTAATTTCGCCAGCACTAAAGAAAGTAATAACACTATATGTATGTGCTTCCTAAACCGGCCGCAGTTATTATCTGAATAATTCTTTAAGCTAATAAATCTGTACAAAGGCGGTTTGATGAAATGGCTGAACATTTTTTTAAACATTCACAACAATTAGCCTAGCCCCAAAGAAAGCACTGTAAGGCTTGTGTTATACTAGGGTAACGGATAGATTACATATATAAGTATATTTATATAGAAATACATATTAAACATCCATGACTAGAGTACAAATCACTGCCGCATTTAGGGGAGGGCAACCGGGGCGAAACGGGGGGCCCCCACAATAGAGAATTCGGAAAAAAAATCGAAATCATCAACAATTTTTCAGCGAAAAAAGCTCGAAAGGTTCCGTTCGTTAACTCTAAGATTTAATTTTAGATAATTCTTGTTTCCGTTTATATTTATATGTGTTTGTTCAATACTAAGGGAATCTACTTGGTTCACAATAAATTATTTATTGAAAAACTCATTATCACTCACACTCACTCTAATTTATTGAATTAAAAAAAAAATGTTTACTTTATTTGGAAAATAATTTGGGGTGAGGGGGCCTCCGCTCCTCTGTTGCCCCAAGGCCTCTGGACCTCTAAATCCGGCTCTGGTACAAATGCTCGTATTCATCACACAAACATCTGCCCCCACCGAGATTCGAACCCGGGACCTCTCGAGTCGGCGACACCATGAAACCCGGCGTATAAACCACTCGGTCAGGTCGTCATCGTCAATTGAAGAATTATTGTGCAATGTGCAATCATCTGAGGACTAGTCAATTCTTAATTTAGCTCGATGAGTTGTACTTTCCATTGGAATTCTTTGTCCGGGCACGCGTACCTTTCCGCAATCTGGGGCCCTGAAAAAAATTTTGTCAAGTGTCGAGTCGACACAGAGCCGGATTAAGGCAAGCAGGCGGGGCTATTATCCTGGGGCCCTCACAAAAGAGAAAAAGAAACTTTTCAACGGATTAACAACCAGGGTAGGGAGGAGCAGTTCTTAAGTGGCCATGGGTTGAAGATTTGCAAATAGGGGCTCCTACACCTTTATTAACCGCAGAACCTCCTTTAACTCCGGCCTTGCCTCGACAGTTACTTTCTATTACATCGATGGAACTTCAAGCTGAACTAGTCCATCCACGCATCGTGACCACAGCCGTGACGACACAATGCGGCAATCTTTTAACCAATAACCACAACCACCGGGCCCACCGTCCAGTAAACTTAGGCGTGGGACATACTAAAGACGTGTACAAAAAAAAAATGTGTGCGTGTACTAGTGTACACACGTAAGAAGTGAAACTTCTTTATGGCCTTATTTTTTTCGAAAAATGATCTACATGCAACTTTCCAGATATATATATATAGGCGTGCGCTAAGATTTTTCAAAAACTCACCCACTAAAGGGGTATAACTACACCTTACCTTACCTTACCTTACCTTACCTTACCTTACCTTACCTTACCTTACCTTACCTTACCTTACCTTACCTTACCTTACCTTACCTTACCTTACCTTACCTTACCTTGTGTGAAACACGAATATTTGCTGTCGATACTTTTTTTTTTTAAAGTTGACAGAAGAAGCAATTCTTCGGACGAGGTAAATAGTGCTCTTTTAAAAAAAAGATGGCGCGTAACCAAAAAACGTGACGCGTAACCGAATAAAAATGTGACGGTAAATTTTTTTCCAACGCCGATAAAGAAGTTTCACTTCAAAAACTGATAATGTCCGCGCCCCGCCTGCGTCTATTCTTTGTATCCTTTTTTCGTCCGCTCCCGCCCCTCATTCATTTTGGAATTAATTTTTAAACTGCATGACACTCGCAATTTAGTGTGGAAATTGCCCTACCCCCGCCCGCCCAGGGCCTAGCTGCCCATATCATTGTGTGGCACCTCCGAAGTTCGATATCTGTCTGGACGTGCTGTTAGAACTTAGATTTTTGTGGAAAAAAAAAAACTGATCCCTTATCTATTAGACAAGTCCGTCCAAGTCTGTGGTGCTGTTTCAGCGGCCAAACCGTAAGAGATAGATAAAGAGAATATTTAAGTTATAAGTTAAGAATAGTCTGATAAGACTACAAACCGGATTTGAGTAACGTAGCACTTCCGGTTTTCGAGAAATCAGGTTTTGGTGAACATTTGGTTCACTGGTTTGCTAGTATTTTCTTATTAGCTGTTAGTTGTATTTATATAGGTCGTTGGAGGGATAAAGAAAAAACTCATTTTTATAAAATGGTTTATTACAAAAATGCCATTTAATTGTAGCCATGTTTAGATGGAGAGTGCACAGGCCCGGGAGCTGCCGGGCGCCGCTCACACCGTCAGCGTCACGCACTCGACGCACGACAGTCTCCTACTGCAGCTGACACCATACAACCACAACACGCATCGGTGCCAAATATTAAATCGCTTCTATTACAAACATCACTTATTTATAATAATTCTTCGTTGATTTCAGTTCAGGCCCGAATCACACGTGAATGTTAATATTCAAATTGCTACTAAGACTACTTACGATGGGCTCCGTATACAGTCATTTAACATTAGACATAGACTAAGGAGCCCTTTTGACTTGTTTAATACAAATATTATTGCGTCAGTTTCGCCACAACACTCGCAAGTAACGTAAAATAAAAGGAAACAGCGAAAACCATAACACATTTTAAATAGGCAGCTCCGCATTATATATGAATCATCAATTTTTATATCCAGTGTCCTGCCAAGCGCGCTGAGAAGTTGTACAGAATCATGTCATAGATCACGCGGGTAGGGAAATCCGAAAAATAGAATCAGATGATAACGCACTGGTGCAGTGCCAAACCGTTTGATTATCGGCTGTTAGAAATGTTCTGCATATACCAAGTACATCAAAGTTCTATCTATGAATGTGACCTGAGTCTGAATCTATTAATGAAAACTATGCTTTTGGCAAAAAATTAACACAGTAGATGATTTCTAACACAATTAATTATTACTTTAACATACATAACTATTATATTAACATACATATTTAAGCGCTTTGTAATACATGTCATACTCAATGTCCGATAAATTTTAGCTCGTTAATTAATATAGTTAAAATTACAATGAAACAATAACCAATACTTGTAGGTAGTCAATAACACACAAACCTCGTGTAGGTTGTATCATTTTTGTGTCAAACACATGACATAATGAATACTCTTCACAATAATTGAATCAATGACACAGTTTGTGTAATATAACAAAATGCGCTCTGCGCGTCCAGGAACGTCCTGAAGCCCGAGCACGTAATTTTAATTCTGACAACTCCGTAATCGTACCGTTAACGACAAATTTTGTATGAGAAAAGCTAGTCTGTTGTTACGTCGGATAGGGAGCTTAGTTTTCATAAATACGTTACGGAGTTGTCAAAAATTCGTGCTTGGGCCTTTGATCCTGACGATGGATCGGGGGAAGGCGACGGGCAAGCTTCATTCACAGCTGTCTCCGACCGTGTGCTGGTCAGTGTGTATGTATGGCTGTACTGTACAGACAAGTTCCGATATTCCACGCAGTGTCACTCGGATCCCGCCACACCCGCGCTCGCGCCTCTATCCCGCGTCAGTCAGGCGATGTACAAAAAATGCAACTATATTGATATGTTTATTGCACTAGACTTGTTCGCTTCCAAAATTATCTTACCCCTTGGCATGACGATCGACATCAGTTTTTTAATATCGGTAAATAAATGCCGAGTCGATATATTACTTACATAAAAAATAGCCTTAACTACTTAGTCTACTTAGCCGAAATCCTAGATGATCAGGAACGCGCGGCTCCTTGACTATTTTCTAATTCTATAAACATGGTTCACGGAGGTGAGAGGTCGCCGACGACGACGGTATTGTTGACTCACGAGGTAGAATATACGACATTAAAAATCATTAACGAGTTGACAGTAAAGCCATTCGGAATGGCAGGGCAGGATTTCGTTTATAAAACGTTTAAAATTTTGCTCGTAATTGTAATCTTCGGTCGCGCGCGCTAAAATATCTAAGCCCAATAAATTTTTAATGTATTATATCAGTCAGCTCGCTCGCACATCGCCGTCCGTATTTACACAGTAGATATTACACCTCGAGCGTTTATGGAGGCGGCGTCGCGTCGCGCTCGCTACGCTCGCTTCACGTTGCTATCGCTGCAGAGATTACATTCCGTTGTCCTTAAATTATCTACAGTGTTTTCGCTCTTTCTAAGAGGTCGTTAATGAATTTCTGAAAAAGTAAAAGAATGCATTTTATATTAAAAATTATGTTAATAGGCAATTGTACAATGTTCTTTTTTGTAATTATTTTGTTAAAAGTGTGGTTAATTATGTTGTATTGTGTTTTTATTGGTGAAGACCTGTAATTGGCTTTCTGTTATTATTTAAGTTCTTATTATTGTTATTAATAGCTGCAGGTCTTCCAAAAAATAAATAAATAATGACCCTTGGTACACATATTTTTAGAAAAGATTGTGAATACTAACATTTACATCCTTTTGTGGCTTTTTGGCATCTGCTAGTAAAGTCTGAAAGCACAAAAAGCTGAATTTAAAATATTATCTATAAACCCAGATACGGCAATAACGCGAAAACTGCCGTTATGGCGTAACATAAATGAGAGGCGATTTTCACCGCACGGCTACACCGCAGGGGACTAAACCAGCGAAGCAACTTGGCATGCGGCGACAATCACCCATCATAAATCGATTGCAAACAATAAATATGATATGAGAGTGATCCAAAATTGATCAGATAACAGAATCAACCGTTTAAATGCGCCATTACATAGGTAGCTAGTATTTAAAAAATATAGAATAGATTTACGCTCAAAAACATTCTACTTTAACGAGAAATACGTGGGACGTTTAATGAAAATTTTTCTTTACTATTAGCTCAATAGGTAAAGAAGGCTTAGCCGATAGTTGGTGATGGCGATAGAATCCGAAATCGGTTCAATAGTTTCACCATTTCGTGGCAACATACTTGCATAAACTGATAAAATCATAAACTTTTCCTTTTGGTTGGCTTGACTACTCAAAAATTATTTATTAAATATTGTAGTTAGTTTAATTGTTGATAAGATAAAGAAAGACACTGTACCTACTCGATAAAGAAAGATAGTGCTAGTAATTTATACTTGGTATGTGTAGAACTCAGCAGCGTAACCTAACTCAAGATTAGGTTTGTTATGTATTCTGTGATAAAATTGTTTAAAATCAAGATAATGTTATATTTTACAACCGTGTGTGTGATTGCCTGTATGGCCGAACTCAATTAACACTTAATATCAGAGGGGTTTCGCTTGCATGAAACAAACAAGACTTCGTATATGATCATGAACTCAACGCGATGCAATAGTAGGTCACGGTTGACACAAAAAGATCACCCTTCTTACCATTTTCCGTGTTCTATGGGAGCAGTCGAGGCGGAATGTGAGATGCCATTCTATATAGGTCATAATGTCTCGGTCTGACAATAGAAACGGCTTCGGGTTTGTGTTTGCTGAGGCACTTTTTTGATGTGAGGCACCTCGCGCACCAGACGTCCACGACCACGACCACGGTCAGTGGCCGCAACGGCCAGATTAACTAACGAAACCAAGCGTTCGACTAGAACGGTGTGGTCCACCTCCTGCGACCCAGCGCCCGCGCTACAAGGGTGTGGTGCAGTAGTGTCGGTGTGTAAGGCAGGGAGCACTGACCGCGAGGTGCGCGCGGCGGTGGTCGTCGCTGTCCATGTCGAGCAGCTCGTCGATGTCCACCTCCACCTCCTGCGACCCAGCGCCCGCGCCCGACCCCGACCCCGACCCCGTCCCCCCGCCCGCCGCTCCGCCTGTCCCGCCGCTGTCCTGCAATATAATTTTCATCCCACCACCTCGGAAAGTGTAATTTTGCGCTTCGAAATCTGGCTGGAAAATTCTATTTTATTCGCTTGAGCGGCAAAGTAGATTTGAATTTAGAACATCACATATAATGAGTACTCAATATAATTGTAAATTCAAAACGTCATTAAACCTATTTAATGTAACCTCTATGGTGCCAAATTTATGATTAGAACTTTTTAAATTGTGAAAAAATTTAAATTTGGAACCTTCTTGGTTTCTTTGTTTTATTTGCGTGCTTCGCGCCATTCTAGTTTTTCACGTTTTATTGCTTAATATAATTAACATAACCTAAAAACTGTACAAAAAAATCAACTAAAATGAGTGACATTAGCGACGATGAAGTTTATCTAACGCCAACTGAGTTAACTGAAACAGTTAATAATGCGCAAATGAGCCTTCTCCCTCAGCAATCACGAGAGAAGTATTTGAAACAGTACGATATATTTAACATGTGGCGACTAGCTAAAGGAGCAAAAACTTTCTCCGAAAACGTTTTGCTGGCATATTTTATAGAATTATCTGAGACCAAGAAAGCAAGCACGCTATGGAGTACGTATTCAATGCTAAAATTAACAATTAAGATGAAGAAAGACGTTCATATCGACACCTATCATAAATTAGTGGCATTTTTAAAAAGAGCCTCATCTGGTTATAAACCAAAAAAATCGAAGGTTTTCACAGCATCTGAAATTGCAAAGTTTATTAATGAAGCACCTGATTCCGTATATTTAGCGGCAAAAGTAAGTCAATACGTGTAATTTTTTGTTGTTGATAAAATTGTACATAGTACTTACAATATTTTTAATTTGATTAATTTATTTACGATTATAAATACTTCTTTTGTTACAGGTTGTTCTTATTATTGGTATAACCGGAGCATGTCGAACAAATGAACTTACACTACTTAATGTCAATAACGTATCAAAATATTCTCATAATTCTGATGAATTGCTATTAATTAATGTACTAAATACCAAGACAAAAAAAGACCGCAACTTCGTTATTCGCAAGGAATATGTAAACATTGTTCAGAAATATCAAGCTTTACGTCCTTCTAACACCCCAATTGAACGATTTTTTCTACAATATCGCAACGGAAAGTGTATCCGACAACCTATGGGTCAGAATAAAATTGGCAGTATTCCACGAGAAATAGCAACTTTTCTCGGACTTTTAGAACCCCCGTTATACACCGGTCACTGTTTTAGAAGAACCTCAGCCACACTTTTGGCCGAATCAGGGGCTGATCTTCTATCGCTTAAGCGCCATGGAGGCTGGAAGTCTAATTCGGTTGTAGAGGGATACATAGAGGATTCAATCCAAAGTAAATCAAAAATTTGTAATAGTATCGTGGAGGCCATAACGCTGAAAGAACCTCTGTCAGATTCTTGGTCTCGCCCTTCTACATCTAAAATGAGCCCCCATAAGATTGGAAACAATAGCCCTCTCTCGCCAACATTTACGCCAATAGAATCCAATGAATCGGCACAACTATTTAAAATTACTGATACGAGTAGTTTACCACAAAACAGCGCACAATTCACAAACACCAACATAACATTACCTAACAAAAATATTAAACTTAACATAAGTAACTGTAGCAACGTTACATTTAATATTTCTTAATTATTTTCTACTTCTTATTATTTTCTTCAATTTATAGATTATCTTAATGTGTTTTAATTGAAATAAAAATATTTTGTCATTATAAATTGTTTTCTTTTTCATTTTGTCATTTCCTCGCTGAGGTGGGATGAAAAGTTACGTATTGCACTCGAGTGGAAAGATTTTTCACCTTGTGCTCGTTTGTTTCCCTCGCTGACGCTCAGGATTCTAATTTAGAATCACTCGCTGCGCTCGTGATTCAACTTTAGAATCCTTCGCTTGCTCGGTCATCCAAATCGAGCACGCGGTTAAAAAGGAACTTTCCACTCTTGTATAATAAATAACTAATCATCATCAGCCTCCTAATGTCCTCGCCCCGCTCCTATAGATGGAATAGGGATCGCATGACTCACCACTTGGGCTAGGAGTGCTAACGACACTGATGCAGCCGGAACCGATGGCTTAACATGCCATCTCGAGATGATAAATTTTTGATCTTCTATCTAATGACCGGCTTTTGCAAAAATTGCTCCAACTTCAACGATCGCAGACCTAAAGCGCTAATATTTCTTCCACGCAACCGTTCCTCTTCAACGAATAAACAATCACTAGAAAAGCATGGCCTTGGCGAACCCTTCACAGAGTCAGGACTGGTCGCTCTTAATTAGGAGTCAAAAACTATATCTGACAACTTTCCAATTAAAACATAAAAGTTTTAACTAATGGGCGCTCACATTCGACCTAGCTATACCGCAATCAAGGGCATCGGCCGGTGCTGCCTGTCTAGCAAACAAAACATAAAGGATTGAATTGCGGCGGCTGACTCGCTTCATTAGTAGAAACTTGGCACAGGCAACTGTGCCGTATTCAGATTCGTCGGCGCCCAAGCCATAGCGCGACGTAAACACAAATATGTCCTAATAAACTGACACCCAAGCACGAACTTTGACCTGATCCCTAATTGTATCTTCATCGTCAAATTTTGTATGGAAGGAGCCAGATTCTTCTTACGACCGGTAAGAGTGCTTCTTAGTCTTCATAGAAACTCTTTTTTTTTCTTACTCGTGCTTAGATCTCTAATTGTATGTAAATTAAAATATGGTAACGGGCGGCGGTACTGACCGCGGTCTCGTACAGCTTCTGCAGCTCGTCGTAGAGCCACATCTCGACAGCGAGCCGCTTGCGGATGAGCGCCATCTGGTGGCTGCCATACTTCGCGGTCAGGAACTTCTCGCGCCGCTCTTTCACCTGAAATTAATAAAAGAAGAACATGACGTGATTGTTCTATAATGGCACCACTCAAATTGGTTTCGCAAGCGTGTCACATTTCATTTTAAACGTATGTTTACTGTAGCCCATCTGTAAATAACATTGTTTATCTATGAGTGCAAATAACCGTTTATGGTAAATAGCCGTTTTTCAAAAACTCACAGTCTCACACTGTGTATCTACTGAATATTTTCTTTTGAGACTATTCATGTATCAGCGACTGTCTTCCATTGTAGTGGTAAAGTATATATTGATAGCTTTACAGCGTGGAGTACTATTTCATTTCGGCAAAATCATTAAAATTTCAAGTTGAGATTGATACACATTGAGAAACAGAGCTAATTATGGCCGTAAACGCCGCGTGTTTGTCGTTTTTGGGCGACCGCAGAACGGTTATTAGGGGTGTAATAATTTTGATTGGGAGCGTAGGGGACGAAGACTTACCTCTCCTTCAGACTACCTAGACAAGCCCTAAAACAAATCGTGGGTATACTCACGGATCACGGCTACTTCAACAAACACCTTTGTAATATAGGTATTTCTGACAGCCCTCTGTGCAGAGCCTGCCTGGAGGCGGATGAGACGAGCGCCCATGTCCTACTGGAGTGCAGGGGCGTTGCAAGACAAAGGTCTTCTCTAATGGGAAGCCCGAAGACAATAGTAGAGGCCTGCAGCAACATTCGGGGACTGCTGAGCTTTCCGGGATGGCAGGATTGATGCCAATCCCCACGTAAATTAGGCACTGGGTGTCGAGTTGCGGAAACAGCCCGCAGTACTACTAAGAGACTAAGACTTACCTCTCCTTTGTCGCTGAAGTTGACGTGGAGGCCGGACTTGGCGGGCGAGCGCTCCGTGGGGGAGAGCGCGGGGTGCGCTGGGTGCGGGGGGTGCGGGGGGTGCCCGGGGTGGTCGGGGTGCGCGGGGTGCGGGGGCCGCGCGGGAAACCCGCCCGCCGCCACGCCGCACTCCATGCCGCCGCCGCTGCGGCTCTGACAACCAACACAATAACGATAACATCCCCTCAACGAGACCGGGGGGCCATTCGCCTAACGGAAATGCTTTGGAAAACGCTAACGCTTACGATTTCATTTTGTTATTTCTAGCCACCTGAGGTTTTCGAATGCCTCGCGCTCTTATTTTTTCTTTTGCATTGGTAGTAACAATATTAAAAAAAAAGAGCGTGATGTATTAGGAAACCTTCGGCGGTCAGAAATAACAAAATAAAATCGAAAGCGTCAGCGTTTTCCAAAGCATTTCGGTTAGGCGAATGGCCCCCAGAACTGAAGGTCTTAGGAAAGGAACAAATGAGGAAATACTTCAGAGACCCAGACGCGTATTTTGACAGCTCCACAATGAAATCGTCATTGTCCAAAAATTTATGGAAGTTTGTTCTTACGTCCGTTAAGGACGCTGTTGGTTTTCCTACAAACTGACGATGCAATACGATTACGGCGCTGTTTAAAATCATGCTTGAGCCTATGATTCCAGTAGGCCATCAGTAGGCTTAACTAATGATAAGGGTGCAGGAATGCTATAATACGTGTAGCTACTCGTATATACAGCATTCCTGCATGCTCCAAGCCGCGAAGTATTGGGTTCAGGTCTAGGGTTACTATCTATCTGAATATCTTGCTGAATAAGACAGGAGTCAGGACAACTGTCGCTATACGCCGGACATAATATTTTATTTCTTCATCACCGTGCAAGCGTAATGTCTTAACGAACGACAGTCGGAACGTCACTTATACAATAAAGTCCCAAGCAATATCCAAGAGTTAACCATAAATAAATTTAAAAATAGTATAAAAAAACCACTTATTAAAAAAGCTTATTACAAAGTGTGTGATTATATTACAGACAAACCCAAGCAGGTTTGAACTGTTCCAATCATTCCAACAGGTTTTCTATATTAAATAAAACATAATTGTATTGACGTTGTAACAACATAATGATTTGTAAATGTTGTTACATTAAACTTTTAATGTTGTGGAGTTTTTTTCGCTCGTTCTTCTCCGCAGCTAAAAAATATGTCCATAACGACGGTTCAAAAGAGTTGTACTATACATCCAATTTGAATAAAGATATATTGATTTCTGTTAGACATATTTGGCTGGAAGTGACCAAAAAAGCTAAACAATATGTTAACCGTAGAAAAGCCATTAATTTTGGTAGCTGATGTAATAAGGAGTAACTTAGGCTACTTTTATTTTAGAACAAAAAAACTAAAAGTTAACGCGGACGAAGCCGCGAGCGGCCGCTAGTGTCATAATAATATCATAACGTATATGTGGGGTTACCATCCGTCCGGATTAGTCCGAACATGTCTGGACTTTTAGACTATTTCGGATGGTGTCCTGCTACCATGCCTAGATGCCTACCATACCACTATAATAATAATAATAATAATATACCATTTATTTTCTCCTCACAAAAGGTGTAACAGTACAATAGGTAACTAACTTAATCAATGTGTAAAGTATTTCCACCTTGTGACTAAAAAGTCCGGACTTTTATCGATAAGTCAGGCTTTATGTCAGGACTTTTCAAATTCGTAAATGGTAACCCTACGTTAATGTACGAGTATACCTCTTCCACGGTGCCACATGAATATCTGTAGGAACAGACTATTTATGACTATTTATGTTAGTACAAAACTACCAATCTAAGTTTTGTGGAGTTACACATAAAATATGCTATCCCTGCCACCGCGATAGCGATCAAACATCAGCCGTGCGTGATTCCTGCTGACAGTTCGCTGGCGAACTAATAACTACAAGATCGTTAGTTCGTAGAACGTTGCGTGGGTATAGGGCTGCCATCTCTAAAATGTGGTAACCAGGATGAGACGCGTGATAACTCCGGATTTTGGAGCCCAGAACCCGGACAGACCAAAAAAACAGTTAAAATGTCACAAATCAACTTTTTTATGTCGATCTAGGCAAAAGAGCTAGTGGTCACTGCTGCCCATGGACACTTGCAGCACCAAGGGTCACTCATGCGTTGCCATAATTTTTAACCCGGACTACAAATAAAACCCCGCCCGGACGCTCCCCGGACGCCCCGTAAACTAGGACAAATCCGAGGAAACCCGGACGGATGGCAGCCCTACGTGGGTACCTAGGGATATGCATGTTAGTAAATGTGCTCGTTCGAACAATTGTAATGGGTTGTTTTGCCACCGACTCCGCTTGCGGGACAAACGATCGGTCGCCGGTCGGCCGAGGTCGCGCGCGGCGCGCGGCGGGCTGTAACATGAGGAGATGTTTACGTCAAGGCGTCTTCGTCTTCTAAAATCAGCGCGTGTATTATTATACTACCGACGCTTGTTATTAAATATATAGCTAGGTCCCTAACCGAATGTTGAATCATTGACAAAGCAGGCGTCAACATCGTGTAATCTTGCAGCCCTGACAGCCTAAATCATTAATTTTAACTATCCAAATATACTAGTGGACGAAAAAATTAGGCCACCTACCAAATTAGTAGCCGAGGCTGTTTTTTAAAATCCAATAATATTCGTTGTTATTGTTAATTCTTAATTTGTCCTAATCATTATTAGGCGTACCACAGTACGAAAATTTTAATTTCATTTTTACAGAACAGTTTAAATCATCGCCATAGGGGTGGCCCCGTGGGACGGTCTATTTTTGAAGTTATACTTCTTTAGGCGCGTTATGAAAAAATGTTGAGAGTGGAATTCTAAGATGCGCGCGCATCACTGTAACACAAAAAATTAACAGCATGAAGTTGGTCGCTTTAGCGACCAACTTCATGCTGTTACTTTTGTGTTTACCGCACATTAAGAATATCTACCAGCAAAATAGAAATAGAATCTCTATTTTGTGGGTGCTAACGACTGCAATGACTGCATTGTGAAGGCCTATCAAAAGTATTTATTATAATCTGGAACAACGGAACCAAAGCGCGATTCAGGAGACTACAGCGCCATCTCTTGACCATTGGTGTAGTAGAACCAAAAACCACATCTTTATTTTTTGTAATAAAGTAACAGTTATAGGTATTCATATTTATAATATTTATCCACATGTTTCTAGTTTGTATATTCGGAATACGTGTTTGAGTTTCATACAAGTGCAAATCACATATGTTCTAATAAATTATATTCAGTAGCGATTTTAATTGAATATTTTCATTATTTATTTATTTTTTCAAATTAAAACTGAACTTTATTGACTGTGTCCTTTTCCAGACTTTTTATAAATTTATTGTAATTAATTATTTGCATGCAATTAAAAACTAATTTTAAACGATGCCAAAGAAGGATAACTTCTCACGCGCCTACATAAGTACACGCACCCATTTTTTATTTATTGTTACAGACGCTGTTGTGGCAGTGATTTCGTGAAATGGAACGGAAGTGTGTAACAGGAAGTCACGAAAGCGCGCACTATTTGATTGATTTTAGAATACAATGTTCAAATGGCTTATTCCTTTTGTAGTAGGTTTTATTTCTTTATTTATAAATATAAGGTGAGGTTTCAAATGTTACACATCATACGCGACTTTCTTTTCAGTATCGAAGAGTTATTTTGGTTGTTTAATTTCATCACAGTCACAGAACAGAAATTTCTGCTCTGAAATATTCATCAAGAGACTTAGTTATGTTAAAATTTATTTATTTAGAATATTTCGACGTCCACGAAGTAGGCGAGACAATATACGGATATTCTAACTACATTTAGATAAGTATCTACTACAACCATATTTGAATATCGTTCATCTACTACTCAAATGTTTAAAATAAACATACAATCTGTGTTGCACAAATTTTATGTACCAAGCTTCATTATTTTAGTTATATGAATTCTTTAGTGGAGTCACCAATATGAAACAACCATCATTTACTCTTGTTGTTAATATTAAACGACCGAACTTTGGGACCTCGAGGTGGCCTTTGGCATTTTCATGATTTGCAAATGATTTGAGTAAATTCACATCAAACAGCTCATCAGGCCAATGTCAATAACCGCTTAACGCTGTGTATGCCAGCTTTATTTTTATCTCAGTGATATTTGGTTGTGATTACACATAATGCACAAGCTGCACAACCATTCTATAAACACAGCATTTATTTAATATACATATTTATGTACTAAAACATTAAAAGGTCGTGAAGGCCGCCGGGTTATCAATCATTATTGATAACTATATATCAAATTCAATTAGCGTTGATTTATTTCTGTGGCATGGATGGACCAGTAACATAGCACATATTAATATTAGTTATTAATTAATAATCTCTTGATTGTACATTTTTTTCAGGTTATTTGAGTACTAGCAAACCAGTGAACCAAATGTTCACCAAAACCTGATTTCTCGAAAACCGGAAGTGCTACGTTACTCAAATCCGGTTTGTAGTCTTATCAGACTATTCTTAACTTATAACTTAAATATTCTCTTTATCTATCTCTTACGGTTTGGCCGCTGAAACAGCACCACAGACGGACGGACTTGTCTAATAGATAAGAGATGCTCTGCCTATGGCTAGCTGCTTTTGACTGCTCAGTTCCGTCTGAACTGATGAAAGTTATAATCTCCGAGCTATTTAGTGATACACTACTGCCTTATCTATACTTATAATATTCTTAAATAAATATTTTCAACACTCACACCAATTAGCCTATCTCCAAAGTAAGTACTGTAAGGAAGGCTTGTGTTATGGGATACTACTTAGGGTAACGGATAGAATACATATATTATACACATGGACTTATAATTTTTATACGTCCATGATTATACATATATAAGTATATTCATATAAAAATATATATTAAACATCAATGACTGGAGTACAAATGCTCGTATTCATCACACAAACATCTGTCCCCACCAGGATTCGAACCCGGGACCTCTCGAGTCAGCGACACCATGAAACCCGGCGTATAAATCACTCGGCCACAGAGGTCGTATTATAATGTCATTAAGATGCTTTTTCTGAAAAGCATCGCCAGATATTCAATTTTCTCTTTAGTTACATACTGTAAATGTCAAAGGAGTTAGCGAACAGGCCCGCAGACGCAGAGCATACTCAAATAAATAGGTTGCCAAAACAAATAACTCAATGTTCAATCTTTTCTTATCGCAAACCACGCTGGCCCAGTGCGGGTTGGTGGGTGCTAACGACTGCAGATGCAGCCGGGACCAACGGCTTAACGTGCCTTCCGAAGCACGGAGCACGGAGGAGCTCGAGATAGTAATTTTTTTTCACCCATCCAATGACCGACCACTGCGAAAGTTGCTTAAGTTCAACGATCGCAGCCGAACGCGCTAACCATTTGCGCCATCGAGCTCTTCAATCAACATTTCTTCAATCAACATAAGGCGCTGATTATTGTAGAGCAGACTGGACACAATCATAGTATGCTTGTTTTGTCGTCTGGAATAGTGCTTACTCACAAAAGAGTCTACTGACTACCAAAACGTATAAAAAAAATGGGTGCGTGTACTTATGTAGGCGCGTGAGAAGTTATCCTTCTTTGGCATCGTTTAAAATTAGTTTTTAATTGCATGCAAATAATTAATTAAAATAAATTAATAAAAAGTCTGGAAAAGGACACAGTCAATAAAGTTCAGTTTTAATTTGAAAAAATAAATAAATAATCAAAATATTCAATTAAAATCGCTACTGAATATAATTTACTAGAACATATGTGATTTGCACTTGTATGAAACTCAAACACGTATTCCGAATATACAAACTAGAAACATGTGGATAAATATTATAAATATGAATACCTATAACTGTTACTTTATTACAAAAAATAAAGATGTGGTTTTTGGTTCTACTACACCAATGGTCAAGAGATGGCGCTGTAGTCTCCTGAATCGCGCTTTGGTTCCGTTGTTCCAGATTAATAAATACTTTTGATAGGCCTTCACAATGCAGTCGTTAGCACCCACTAAATAGAGATTCTATTTCTATTTTGTTGGTAGATTTTCTTAATGTGCGGTAATCACAAAAGTAACTGTTAATTTTTGTGTTACAGTGATGCGCGCGCATCTTAAAATTTCACTCTCATCATTTTTTCATAACGTTAGGCGCGTTATAACTAGAAGTATAACTACAAAAAGATGACAGATGATGAAAGGCTTCATAGTGGTCGCGACTCCCTGTTAAGCTTGTTGGGGAAATGCGAGACAAAGAGCCCTTTACTTTACCCCGGGCGCGACACCGGCACTTCACCTGCCTACCTACGTATCTACTAAACTACTGACGCTGAATAGTTTAAGATAGAATATTTCAGCACATTGTGTGTAACTACAATCGATAACCACCCCCCACCCACCTATACTACAGCTCTGTCTAGCCAAGCTAGGTATGAGTAGGTACCAAATAATTCTTGTAACTAAATTGTTAGTCAGCAAAGCCAGGCCTAGCCATAGCTCAGAACGCGTTGTGGTCACAGTAAAACATCCACATGGGGAAATTCTTGTTATGGCTCTAATGAAAACGCGCACGACGCGTTGTGGACATCTAGACATCAGAGTCTAAGGCCCGTATTATAGAAAGATTCTCAGTGATTGATCTAGTCTTGAGCATAGTTAGAAAGGGATGTCACTATACAGGGCGTCCCTCGGCTACCTCACACAGGGAAAGTATATTAAATATAGAAGATAGGATATTTTACTGAAAGGAGACATCGTTTTATTTTTAATAATAACTAGAACTGCATTCACAGATTTTATAAAAATCGCCTGCTACAACTGGGAATCAAACTTGTGATATTTTGAAAAAATAAACACAACATATTTTATGATAACCATCGAAAATGTTAATCATAAGGATTATTTTTTGCTAAATAACAAAGCATTTTAAATAAAAGAAAAGTAATTTTATTTAACATTTTATTTAAAATTATTTAACACAAACTATTATACAATCATACCATGTCGCTATGTGCTATATATAGCGACATCCCTTTCTAACTATGCTCAAGACTAGATCAATTACTGAAAATCTTTCTATAATACGGGCCTAAATGGTGTCAAGTAATTCTACCATAAGTCACATTCTTTTCACTATTTTCTATTTATTTGTTTCTTAGGTTTTCTTAATTTTTACGGGTTAGGTATATGCACTGAATTTATTTATTTATTGACGTTTGTCATCCTTTTCAGGAATGACGACGATCATTATTCTGAAGACTTATTACTGTAAAGGATGCGAAACGTCAATAAATATATTCAGTGCATATACACACATCAAAAGTGTCTAGGGATCAAGCATTTTTATGCGGATTTCTTGAGATTGAGATGTGGCTTTGTAATAAATTTATGATTTTATAAATTTATATGGATCCTTTTTGGTGCATTTCATAATTTGAATCAGGAACTGTGAATCAAATTCGAGTAAAAGATGAAAATCAGCTGTCAATATTTTCCCTATAAAAACATACAACGCATTGAAGACATTATTAGTGCTACTGTTTCCCTACTACTGATTAAAACCAACGTTATTATGGAGCGGCGACGTCATTTAAGCAGGGAAGAAATGCTCAGAGCCGTGGGAATGATAGAAGCTGGTTCCCGGCAACGTACTGTGGCTTTAGCTCTGAATACAAGTCAGAGTGTTATCAGTCGACTTTGGACACGATACCGAAGCACTGGTACCGTGGCTGAGCGCCATGGAGGACGGTATCGCTGCACCACACGGAGACAAGACCGATACATTCAAATCTTAACTCGAAGAGCTCCAACAATAACCGCCATGATGTTAGCCGTGAGGCTTCATCACTCTTCAGGGAACTTAATTAGCGACCAAACAGTCAGAAACCGCTTGCATGAAGTGAACCTTCATTCCCGAAGACCGCTACGGGTACCACCTATAGCAATGCACAATCGTAGGATTCGATATCAATGGGCTCTTGAACACAGAAATTGGGCAGAAGAACAATGGCGTTTCGTGTGCTTTTCTGATGAGTCTCGTTTTGGTATGAGACCGGATACAAGACGTATACGACACTGGAGAACCCCTGGACGCCAACAGCGATTAAAATCCTGCCAGGAAGTCCATCCTTATAGTGGTGGAACCATCATGGTATGGGCGGGTATTTGGATCGGCGGAAGAACTGAGTTGATTTGGATCAGAGGCAACCTCAACGCTCAAATTTATGCTGAGACGATTGTATCAGACGTCATCGTTCCTCTACAAGTGCAAATCGGTCCCTTATTTCAGTTAATGCATGATAATGCACGACCGCACACCGCAAGAGTTGTAAGACAGACTCTCGCCGCAGCTAACATCAATGTCCTGCCCTGGCCTGCTCAGTCGCCAGACTTGAACCCGATTGAGCATGCATGGGATATGCTACAGAGAAGAGCTCTGCCGAATATGGAGGGTATCCAGTCGCAAGAAGACCTTTTTTTGTTGTTGCAACGAACATGGGCGGCCATTCCACAGCGTGATTTGGATGAACTCATTTTGAGTATGCCAAACCGATGTTCTTGTGTTGTTAGTGTTCGCGGTAGAAATACGGATTATTAATTGTTTAAGTTACCCAATAAAATTTTAGAGAAAACTGTTATTTCAGTCTTTTTTTCGAACTTTTGTGTTAGTGGTTCAAATGTCAAAAATCCCTTTATTAGGAAAATGGCAAATTTCTTTATTAATGCAAAGGTGACTTGGTTTATCGTTACTGTGACAAACGAAAACACTTTATTTGATGAATCCTTAAAGAAAATTTTAATTAATATCAATCAGGAGAAAAGTTATTGCAAAAATATATGTTGATCCCTAGACACTTTTGATGTGTGTATATAACCCGTAAAAACTGTTTTATTTATATTCTATTTAATTGTTATCGTTAAGTTCGTAATATTGCTATAGGTACTATTTAAAAAATATATATATATATGTTACGCTGAAAGCTCGAAAACGCTCAGTGAGCGGAAAAATAGCTCAAAACGCGTTGTGGTCACAGTAAAACATCCACATAGCGAAATTCGTGTTATGGCTCTAATGAAAACGCGCACGACGCGTTGTGGCAATCACAGAAAGACCAAATAGCGAAATTCTTGTCGTGGCTGACATGCTATTCCATCTCAACGCGTTGTGACAATGAAGAAAAGCCATGACGCGTTCTGAGCATTCATTGTTTTAACCATATCACGACGGACAGGTTGTAATTTGATAGAGGAAGTGCAGCACCCAGGAATGTTATGTGTGTTGTTATGAGCATTAATCCATCAGGTCTCTACTGGTTAGGAAACAAGGAAGGTACATTCGATAGACTTTATGCACGTACGACGAGTGTAGACTTTCTGAAACTAACTTAATTAACATTTGTGATGTGCCCTAAACTTCGTCATTAACACTTCGCTCAGCATCTATGTTATCATCTGGAAGTAAGCAAAGCAATGTGCCACTGCAAAAGATACTGTATTGATAAAGAGTGCAAGTGTCGCTCCAAGAATATAAAATGCAACTCAAAATGCCACAGTAATAGTTCCTGTAAAAATAAATAGCAATCAAATACTTATTTTTCACAATTATAGTAATTTCTAATATAAGTAATTGATTCAAGTACATTGTTGTTGTTTATTGGTGATCAATAAACATTTATGTTTGTGTTAAATATTTTTATTACTTGGAAGAATTTTAAATTGTCATAAAAAATCCTAATTATTATAAGTACTTAATTTACAAATTATTAATATTTTATGTTCAGTAATTTATTACTTAATACGTTGATTTTTTTAAATATAAAGTAATGTCAATACATAACAAATATCGTTTTACATTAATTTATATAATTATATATCATATTTAATAATGACAGACATGTTATGCACTGATTTTATAAAATAAAAAATATTTCCTAGACATCTACCAAAACGTTTCCAGCCTAGGCCTAGTAGGATCCATATCGGAAAGTAGTGTGCGTCGTAATCAAATAATATTCCATACGCGTCATGGCATTTCATTCATTGAGATGGAATAGCATGTCAGCCACGACACGAATTTCGCTATTTGGTCTTTCTGTGATTGCCGAACGCGTCGTGCGCGTTTTCATTAGAACCATAACACGAATTTCGCTATGTGGATGTTTTACTGTGACCACAACGCGTTGTGAGCTATTTTTCCGCTCACTGAGCATTTTCGATCTTTGAGCGTAACATATACATATATATTTTTTTTTAATTTTAGTTTTTGTTACTTAAGTATTATTGGCCTGCAGACAATTGGAATATCCTACAATTAAACTTAAGTTATTGTAAAGTAGGATTACTATGCTTTCGGATTTTTGCCTTTTCAGGCGGACTTTAGGTGAAAATTATTGGTTTTGAGTATTAGAGAGACCTTTTTGCCTAAGATGAGATTTTTTTAATTCTATCTTTATGCAATGACATATTTGAAACATTGAGCACAGGTACGTGAATATAAGCACTTATTTACTCCTTTTTTGAGTTATTATAGATTTTTAGTATTTATTACATTGGATACCTAAGGCATAGGTAAGTAAGTATATAATTTGTCAATTTTTTAAAAGAGATTATTTTAATAACAGAGCATAGGGCAGGCATGGTAGAAATATTACACTAGCAACCAACAATTCCAAAATGCACACCAATGTTAAGCACGAAATTATTCAATTAAATATTTTTTTCTGAAAGATCACAAAATTATTCATAATGCAACATTATATGGAAAACCATGAAGTGTCTTACAGTGCGTACAAATTAATTTTATTAAACTTCAAAACATTTATTGCATGTCTATTTTTAGGGTTCCGTACCTCAAAAGGAAAAAACGGAACCCTTATAGGATCACTTTGTTGTCCGTCCGTCCGTCCGTCTGTTAAGACCGTTTTTCTTAGGAACGCGTGGACACTTGGCCGGTTTTTTTTTAATATGTAAAGTTAAACCGCAAAGACCTTCTAAATGGTTCTAATTCGAGGAGACTAAATTACACTTACGGAAATGAAAGTTCTTATGTAGTCGGCTAATATTTATTTATTCTTTAATTACTAACACAGTAAACGGTGGACTTAATTCCGTAGGCATTCTCTACCAGTCAACCAGTAAGGATGTAGAAGACGAATGTTTTTGGGATAGAATAGAATGGCCACTAAAGTGAGCCTAAAATAAAACAAAATCTACTACTTAATTAATTAATTATACAATACCATAAAAAAACTTATTTTATTTTAATAAAATATCCATATAATATATGTATATATATATATTCACATGCATACACTTTATAATTTGAAACTAAATAAACCAGAATATTATTTTGAATTAAGATAAAAAATGTTATATGTACATAACATTGTAATTCCTCGTAAAAACCTTTGCTTGCTTGTTAATGTATTTGAATTATGATTGTACGCACACAATATGTAGATAATAAATAATCAGTACGTCAAACAAGCACGGTGATTATCAAAATGTTGGTAACGATACCATTATTTAGCATAATCTTTATCAAGCACTACTCAATGCCACCGGCACCGGCCGCCTATCTACGAAGATACTAGACGTTGAATATTTCTGAATCAGACTCACTGTTCTGCTGATGTGTTGCGTTATTGGTGCAAATCTTACACATAAATATAAAGTAGTTGATTTAATACCACTAAAATGAGTGCGTTTTAATAGATTTTTATAACACACTGACTTGCCCTGCAGCTTAGTTCAACCAACATAGGTGCTATTGCTGAAGTTTTTAGACACGATGCTTAACCACATCTATTTTTATCATTGATTATATACGAGAAAAAATAATGGTTATTTCATAACCATACCCAAGTAGAAGCACCCAGCAAGTGAATTGTAGTTAGAAATGGCTACCAAACCTCTCACGTCACCTACTAAAATAGTCGTAGCAGCAGCAGAACTGCGACCACGACCAAACCAACCATGCGACGCGACTCTGACACACTAACTAGCACGCACCGCACCACACCGACCGGTTTAACTCATTCATAATAATAGTAGCTTGGACACATGGCTAGATCAACATTTAAGCCGGAATATCTAATTTTATAAAATGGGTCAAAAGATAAGGTGAACTATTCTAAAGTTGTTTGTTAATGCTTGTTCTCTAGTTGCGTTAAATGCTTTTAGTTTATGTGGTGTTGATCGTTAAAAAGTTAACTAACTACGCTTGGCCTAACTTATAACTAGTGAGAATAAATTGAAATAATATGCCCAATGATGCTGCATAAACTGTAAAATGACATGAAAAGTAACTGCAAAGGAAATCTAAACTTAAATGTTGCATATCCAAATCCATAACTCTAACATAGTCATTATTGTCATTAAATCAGTAATAACACTAAAAAGGAAGTTCATGCATACAGCAGTTATGGCACATTGATAAACAATGAAGCAATTTTTGCTGTGCCAGCGGTACTAATATGGACTACCGATGACTTTGGATTGTGCATTGCGCAGACGCAGCGTGCAGCGGCCAGCGGAGCCGGAATACGACAGCACAGTGTCACTGTCATGTTGATAATGTCATTATCATAACCCGATGTCGAAGCTTTACATTAAGAATCTGAGCCCGCGAGTTAAGGAAACAATTAACAACGAGTCATATTTTTGTTCGACTTGAAATTATTATTCTGAACTAATTACGTCCCTCTATAATTTTTTATTTACATACACAGCTAAGTAGTATACAATGCAAGAAGTCAAGAACCAAAGCTAAGAATGCATGGAACATTACGAATGACATAATTTATTTATTATGGATAAACTTCAAGAGAAGAGTTGCGCGCGCGCAACTGCTGGCTGACGTCACGGTCGAAGAACCGCAACCACGAGGTGAGCGTCACGCCCCACGACCTTCACTTCACCGCTCCTTCACTCGGGGATTTCATTTGCAAATTACATATTTCAAAATAGACCCTTGGCGGTCTGTCTTACGTACTGTATAGTTTCTTGACCGTTCTTCCCAACACAAGGTTGTCCGTAGATTTCTTTCGGCGAAGTAATGGCTTAGTTGTAGAGAATATGAGTTTGAATATAAATTTGAATTGATAACGTTGTTTTTTATTTTAATACTAATAAATGATTAATTTATTTTATTATTTAAAGTTAGGTTTTAATATTTAGCAATATATAAGTTTGCATGTACGTCAATGTAACCGACCTGTGTAAATAAGAAGCGCGTTTTTAGACCACGTAGGTACGTGAGACGCCAAACGTTGATATTTATGTTCTTAATCACTATATTCAAGGCATGCCAGTACATACTTACAAGCCTAATTAATTTATCACAAATCGGGCTGATAACACGGTGCAGGAACACGCACCTGCCAGTCCTGCCACCAAAGTATAACAAATGATAATGTCTTGTGGACACAATCGTTTCTTAATAAAATCAACAAAAGTAACAAAGTAGGTAAGTAAAGTAATGACAGGTGTTAGCTCTCAGTTCTGGGAAGCCTTTTGTAGGACTAGCAATGGTGGTCGGCTAGCAGCGTTCACTCATATCACGGCATACTAGAGCGTAAGGTAGGACCACCTTTACGTTTCTTAATTAGATTAAATGGATCAGATTTCTTTTTGTAAGTTAAACAACTCACTAATATTGAGCTGGCTTACATTACAGAGATTTTCATTGGTCAGGAGCTTAGCAGGGACGCAGTACGTGGGCGGAGTGTGTAGATCATTTACAGTTAATCAAATGAGCAACTTTATGTGCGAATAATCTCGATTTAGTAACAAGTTAAGCATTTAATGGTGTTGATTCTGGCATGATTCTCATAACATAAACTTAAATTTGACGACACCCATGTCGTTAGCTTTGTAATGCACATTAATTACAACTCGAGTATGAAAATACAATGTAATATTTGTTTTTATAGATAAAATTTTAAAACAAATCTAAAGAAACAGTCAAATGGGTACCTAAATGGGTAAACGGAAATAATATTATATGCTTGTTTTTAAAAGTGGTATTCGATTTTAACGTATTGGGTATCAGGTCTCTAATAGTTTTAATTTTCAATAACAACAACAAATCAGAATAGTATACATTATCTTTTAACTGATATACTCGATAAAAAGTGAATGTTATCAAAGAGTAATTGTAAAAAAATAATGGCAGTAGATATATGAATTATCTCCCATTAGAAAAACAGTTATCATACAATTTCTGTACCTTACCTAAGTGCTTTTATATATTTTATATTGTGAATTTTTTGGGCGTTGATTCTCGGGAATAAAATCACAGTCTCATTAATAACCCGACGCATGGTTACGTTAGTATTGCAATGACGAAGAAATTAATGAAACTTAAACTACCTATTAATAAGTACCTACCTATAATATGTAATAAAAATGATTTTTTTAATCGGTAATTAATGAGGTGAGAGAGCAAACTGAGAATTCTTATGAACGGGCTTATAAGAACAGTATACTATGATTACAAATACGAGCACTTTAGTATTGAATAGTTACCTATGTAACTTGTGGATGTCCGGTATACACCTTCACCAGACAAACGGTTCGAGAGGAACGGATCGCTGCTGGTTCCGCGCGAGTGTACCGCGGACTACCGCGGCTCCTACGACGATCTCGGCCGTCGCGCGTCGCCGTCGGTCAGTGCCCCCGGAGGCCGCGCGAGTTCTGTGCCTCGCTCGTGCGGCGTGCGGCGTGCGGCTGCCAGCCGGGCTGGGATGCGCACTGGAAGCTGCGGCGACACGCGCGCACTGCACTACTGACGATTGAGCACAACACTCCGACTTCGCTGGCGACGACTCGACACGACAACACAGAAAGAGCGTTTGGCGATGACTGCTTGCGCCGTTGCGCGGTGTCGCGGGCGAGATACGAGCCGAGCGAGGGGCGCCGCGGGCGGCAGGGCCGCCGCTCAGCTGATAGCAGCCCGGCAAGCACCATCTCCGCATTGTTTATCTTCGTTACTTATCGCGTCACATTTGAGGATCTTAGTTGACAATGCAGATATATAGAACTAAGGATTATACAAAATACAGTGGTAAAAGTTTTTGTTCTATGACAAATATTGACGAAGCTATGAGCAAATTACTAAACGATTTTTCGACTGACCGCGTGATGGATGCAACGTCACAAAGCTCTAGTGAACGTCGCTGAAGTTCGACCGAAGTGAACCACGATCGAGCTCTGTGACGTCACATGTTTCTGCCGCCGCGCCGGTGAATATTGGCTACCTCCCGTAAAATTAGTTAACCGATTATTAGATTATTACTTATATAACCGATTTCGATGATTTAAAAAAGTATATATAATTAAAAAGCTACAAGATCATAATACAGTTGATTTGCTGACCTAGTAATGATCCTCATCGCGTGATTTATTATATTTTTTAACGTCAAAGGGATTAGGGAAAATCCTAGTTTCTACTATTATAATCCTATCCTTTCCCACTTATATTATAAACACGAAATTTTGTAAGTACCTACCTACCTATTTATGTTTGTTATTCTTTCACGCAAAAACTACTGTATGGTTTATAGGTACCTACCTACCGAGTTTATGACCTGTTTCGCGACATGGGATACTTGTTATCCTGTTAAACGGCAGGTTCCTGTGGGATTCTCAAATAAACTAAAGTTAAAGCGGAGTCAGTCGCGGGTGGCCGCTACTCAGAAAATAAAAATAATATCAACATAGGTATTCACTAATATTAACCTTAAACACAGTAAAAAAACGTTGTTATAAATTAAAAACACGTGTTAAAAACCTACACAATATTTGCTGAATTTTATAATTTTTCTAGAGCGATTGTAGAACGTGCGTCAGATAGATCTATTTATAACAGGGTGAGTCTCCTTTTTTTGAGGAAAAACTCTTAGTAAGAAGGTAAATGTTGATGAGTTTATAGAAAGATAGACACAATCATAGCATGGTCATAACGAATAGTTCTATTGACTCTAATCTAAGTACACAGGAATATTACTTACGGAGAAAAAGTTAACAATGATACCAATCATAAATTGTTTGTTCCACCACACTGCCATATGCCACCACCGCAGATTATTCAAAGCCTATTTTAGAACCGTGAGAATACCTGGAACTTCCTAGTAATTTAAAGCAAAATCAAATTCAATAGTAATTACACATGACTTGCTCTATCCCGCAAGGCAGCGAGAAGGGCGCTATTTATTTCTAAAAATAAATAATCTTCCAGATACCTATTTATCAGCGATCCATCCACCATCTGTGACTGTGCGTGTGTCAGCTGTGTTGATGCACTTGCTCTAAAACTACCTTAGAGCATTTACGTAAATGCTCTAATACCGGCCATACACACTACGAGAAATCGTTACGATCAGACTGTACAGTTCGAACGGAACAGTTTATACGATTCCGTTTAGTATACGAAACTGTGCAGTTTTATAACATACACGCTACGATTTATCTGTACCGTTCGGACTCTACAGTCTAACCGTAACGATTTCTCGTACTGTGTATGGCCGGTATAAGAAACTACCCAATTCGAAAATAAATTAAACACGGTACCTACCCGTTTGTACAAAATAGTGTACCTACTGGTAATGTATGGTGTCGATTCTGGAATGATTCTCTAAACTTAAAATAGTCTCTCCTTTTCATTCTGTATAAGGAATGACAAGGATACACTGTTGTCAAATTTAAGTTTAGGTTTAGAGAATCCTGTGAGAATGGACAGCACATTGTCTAGCTCTACCTAGACGAATATTCAATAGATCTTACAGGTCGCAGTGACTACAGTCAGATTAGGACTGCATAGCCCCAAAAATAAAAATAATAATAATACCTATAAAATGGTTACTACATTACTTTTTCAGATTCAATTATTTGTAACCTTTTATTTAAATACATATTTCTTTTTATTAACAAATTATAAGAGCTCGTTTAAAAAAACGGGTCTTTTTCTTTATTTACCTAGTCAGGTCATAAATTCTGTCACATGTTTAATATAAAATAATTGAAACAAATCTAAAGAAAAGTTTACTAGAAAAATATCCACGCGGACCAGGCAGCGGACGGGACTCGAACCCGCATCCTTCGCTATCCGGGCGAATGCACTGACCATTATGCTACCATGGCCCTATTAGCCGCGTCGAAATTTAATCATCTAGCAGTTAAATGCTTAAAAAATAAATAAAATCATAATTGAAACAAGTTTATTCATTGTGTAACCATATATATACCAAAATAAACTTAACAAAACATAGATTCTTGAGACAATAAAGTTAATAATTTTTATTATTTTTAAAGCATGTAACTGCTTGAGCTTAAGAATAGCTAGAAAGAATTTCGACGCGGTCCGTGAGGGCCGCGGTAGCATAATTGGTCAGTGCATTCGCCCGGATTGCGAAGGGTGCGGGTTCGAGTCCCGTCTGCTGCCTGGTCCGCGTGGAATTTTTTCTAGTTATATTTTCTTTACAATAAAGTTTATTCAAAATGACCTCCGTGATTTTGAATACTGGCCTTCAATCTGCGCGGCCAATCGTCTATCGCAGCACGAACGAGGTCCATGTCAATATCGGCGGCTGCCTTAATCAAGGATGTCTTGAGTGACTCCAAATTGGGATGAGGCTTTGAGCACACCTTTTCCTTCAAGTGTTGCCATATCGTGTAATCTGACTGGAGGAGGGCCAGTCTTCGTGCCGGATAAAGTCGATTTCTCTCAGATTTTCTGTCTTGTGTGCTCTTCGCTCTATGAGCTGGCGCCGAATCTTGTTGGAATACCCAGTGCCTGTTATTGAACATGGTATGAGAAACAGGTTCCACAAGGTTCGTCAGGACTGTATTTTGATACACAACTGCATTCGTTTTTACACCTTTCTCACAAAAATGTACCTCTGTTAAGCCCCAATAAGAAACTCGAGGATGGAAAATGACCTCGTTGGACACGCGGAATACGGTTGCTCGCTTCTTCACTACTGTGTCCGTACACCATATCATTTTGTTTGTTGTAGCTCTCTTCTACGGTAAATTTTTTTTCATCCGAAAAAAGAATTTTCCCATATTTTTTTTCCCGCGTACCGCTTCAACAAAGCGCGGCACCTCTTCAGTCTCAGGTCAATTAGATGAGCATTCAAACGATGTCCTGTTTTTCTTCGATATGCCCGAAGCTCTAAGTCTTCATTTAACACCCTTTTCACCGTGGTTCTGCTTAACCCCATCTGAAGGGCCAACAGTTTCTGCTTACGTTTGGGATTTCTTTGAATTCGCGCCTTCACAGCTTTTATCACTGCTGGAGTCCTAACAGACCGAGGGCGACCACTTCTTGACCTGTCATCTACACTAGAGTCTTCATTGTATCTTTTGATGGTACGATAAACGAATCTTTTGATTATATTCAAATTTTTCAGTATGTCAAATATTTGAATTGGCGCGTATTCGCAACGAAGCAACGCAATAACTGCAACACGGTCTTCTTTAAGCGTCCACTACATATTTAAAATTGAGTAAAATTCTAAAAAGTATACATTTTTATTTTCACGAACAAGTCGAAATTCGAATTCAATAAACTTTTTTTGTGGCCAGCATTCTAAAAGAAAAATTTTTAACGTGTGCCAATACTTATGAACTGACTGTGTATTTTTTTTTGTTTATACACCCTCATACCATTCAATCGTCGGCACGTGCTCTCCTGACATTTGTTCATTCATCTTATCAAATAAAATTTATATTCATTACAAACGGAACGTTTTTTTATCAAATCTGATAGCTGATGGGGTTGCATATGGATATGTTCTAAGACCAAAATACTGCTCATCGAGGCAAATTAAACGAGCCCAAACTCACTGAGGATACGTCATTTCATAATAGCGATCTTATCCACAGCCACCTTCCAGTTCCATCCTCAGACTCTGGATACCATCTAAAGAAAAAAGTACTCGTCAAAACGAATCAAACGAGCACAAACTCCATGGGATTGTGACGTTTTAATTAAGACTACCTATGGCCACCTTCCAGCCCCATCATCAGACACTGGATACCATCTAAGAACTCATCAGGACGAACCAAAAGAGTCCAAATTCTGCGAGGTTGTGTCGTTTAATTACAGAGTTCCCATGACCAACTCTGTATTTAAAGTTGTACTTGAATCGTATCTGTAGCTGATCTCAGCTTAATGTCATCACAATATTGCAGTGTCACGCGATATACGTATGCGAGCACAATTTCAGCTCAATTGGAAACATACATAGATAGTACATACACACACACAACGGACAGGTGAAACGAAATAATAAAAGCTTGGAACAATAAGAGGGCATCCGTTGATGCAAGACACACCCACCTCTCTTAAAATTATGTTCAGCAGGTATACTTATATTAAAAGAGATAAGTGACATGTTGGGGATTTTGTTAAGTTTACATCGCAATGTTTGCATTTGCTACTTACGGCCAAGCAATCAAAGTAAGCTGTCAAAAGGGCTAATCCACAATTTATCTGAAACTGCTTAAATAACATGGGACGTATGGGTAATCTACCAGTTGTAATATAAGCGAAATTTTATAGACACGCGATTGTCCGGCACAAAGGTAGATAGATTAGGTGTACATTTGGGTTTCTTTACTACAATCAATATTACTTTAATGCTATAACACCATACTAAATAGGTGAAGTTAAACGTATTATATTTTAAATACGAAGTGCTTCGGGTCAACACGAGGGCGTGTCAAAGGTGGACGCTCAAGCAAACAAACAAAGAGTTGTCGGAGCTGGGCCCCTGCCTGGTCCTCTGCGGTCGTTTCTGCGAGCGAGCCACGTGTTGGGTAATGAGGGAAAATCAATAGGGTACTCACGCCGCTCCTGAACTTGAAGAACAGCGACATGACAGGGCGGCCGGAGCGCTAACGGGCTGCGGGCCGGCGGTCTCGCCGACACTGCCGCGCCCGCCGCCCGCCCCTGGCCCGCCCCGCCCGGCCGCCGCGTCGCCGCGACGCCGCCCAGAAACTACGGAGCGGACGATGTCGACCGCCAACGACGCTTCTACACTCACATCCCTCTTAAAAAAATATAAATATCACCATCTAAAAAATACAATGTCAAACAAATTTTTCCGCTGGCTTAGCTCAGCATTAACAATTTTTAAACCAACGACACCTCCATACAATTTTTACATCTACGACGCCACCTGCAAAGCGCAGCCGCGGAGCTATCGATCGATCGACAATGTGCCACACCGCCATCGCCCCTGACGACGGCCGATCAGGTGCGAGCTAGCTTCGAGGCAGGACAGGTCGCGCCCGTTCGTCTCCCATGTGACGGAAACGGATGACGGTGTAACGGAAAGTTCGAGCGAAAAACCTGCGAAGTGATTCGATGTGGACGTGTGACACCGGACAGGGGAAATCCCGATTGAGAGACAGCGTGGCAGAAAGTGGGAATGATTCGCTGTAAGATGGCAGCGTGGTGGCGGGCGCTGGCGCTGGCGCTGTCGCTGGGTGTGCGGGCGGGGGGCGCGCGCGAGCTGGACCCGGCGGCGTGCGGCGCGCGCTTCGACGTGCAGCGCGACAAGATCATCCGCACGGAGGAGTCGCGCGAGATGGGCGCGCGCTACCTCTCCGAGCTGGACGTGGGCGCGCGCCACGAGTGCCTGCGCCTCTGCTGCGAGACCGACTCCTGCGACGTCTTCGTATACGAGGAAAAGGTACACGTCTACACTATCATTGTCTTTATAACATGGTATTAACGTCGTGTTTGAGTTTCTAAAAAAAATTTAGATGCACAACCCTTATCACTAAGGGGTATGAAAAATAGATAGTAGCCGATTCTCAGATATAAAATTTCATAAATCAGTCAAGCCGTTTCGAAGGAAAATGTTAACTAACATTGTGACACGAAAAGGTACACGTCTACACTATCATTGTCTTTATAACATGGTATTAACGTCGTGTTTAAGTTTCTAAAAAAAATTTAGATGCACAACCCTTATCACTTAGGGTGATGAAAAATAGATAGTAGCCGATTCTCAGATAAAAAATCGGTCAAGCCGTTTCGGAGGAATATGATAACTAACATTGTGACACGAAAATTTTATATAGGTATAAGATAAACCTTCCATGAACACTTATTTAACTGATAGTGAAAATTCGTTGCGTACTTTAGGATCCGTTGTACCGAATGCGCCATTTTTTTGGTTGAACGTGCTAATCTCAGGAACTAATAGGAGCGGATCATCGATGTAAATTTTTGCAAAAACGGGTAAATATATTACATTTGTGAGCTTCCGTTGCGTGTACTGGGTAAATGATTAAAGTTATACGAAAATCATGTATGCTGGAATTGTTCCCCTTTTAAAGAGGAAAAGTTCTATAAAAAAGTTCGCAGCAGTTGACAGGCCTTTAGTTGTGACATAACTGTAATAAGTAGTTAGACCTATAGTATCGCGGACTTTTTTGTAGATATTGATGTCCTCTATAAAACTTTTGTACATGACTTTGCTCTACAGTCAATGAATTCCTCAGCGTAAGCGATATATAAGGTTATTTTTGGTATTTTTTTCACAACCTAGGTTACGTTATGGGAGTTTTCATACGGAACCCTAACTTTTTTTTGAAATCCTCTATAGCCTATGTTCATCAGGGATAATGTAGGATTCTAAACGTGAAATATTTTTTTAAAATCTGTCCAGTAGTTTCAGAGCTTATTCAATACAAACATACAAATCAAATATTTCCTCTTTATAATATTAGTCAATGACCTCTCTGAATAAATATAGCGTGCGGGGGCGGTTAAATATTCTTTGGCTTATAAAATTCTACATCAGTGATAAACGGGCTCGACAATTCAAATCAAAAGATTTTGCTATAAAACTGAATTTGAAAGGTCATTATATTATACATCGTCATCAAGAAAACAGTTTGTAGTGTCCCGCAGGCTAGCGTATTTGGACTAAATAATTAATGACTTTGACAAAATTATTAAAAGATGCAAACTGATAAGTTAATTGTTAATTTGGACAAAACAACATCGATGGAGTGTAAACAAAGAGAAAGCAAGAAGATTATTGAAGTAAAGAAGAAAATAATACAGCACACGGGGAAAAAAGCAGACGAAGTTTATACTACCAAAATGCTGGTGACCTGTGTCACAGGTTTCATCGAAATCTAATTCAGGCACCAGTCTCTCACAACACTATAACATATTGTAAACCACAAGTGGTATACCGCAATAAACTGTTTTTCTTGTGAAAGAAAAATAAATAAATGATTTATTGATTGATTTCTCCGTCAATTGTGGACCGATTTCCAAAATATTATTTTTTTCGAAAGAGTGATTCTGATGGTGGAATCCGGGGAAATCGAGTGAAACCTTCAAATTTCAAAGGCACGCACGATATTTTTTTATGCATGTTCACCGATTTTTCCGTCAATTGTGCTATTGTTTACTTGGAAGATGTAATTTTCACTAAAATGGATGATATAAAAACTTTTGAAACAAAAAATAAAACCGACTTCAATATCGAAAATGGAACTAAAAAGTAAAAAATAATATCTGGTTCATGATTTGGAAGTCGGGCGGGTCAAGATTGAAAGACGTATTATTACCGATCAGAAACGAAAATCTATTTAGTTTCAATCTTGACCCGCCCGACTTCCAAATCATGAACCAGATATTATTTATATTTTCGATTTTGAAGTCGTTTATATTTTTTGTTTATTTTTTTATTTATTTCTTTTAAATGCTTAATACGAGTATAGCGCGGACCTTTCTGTGTTATTAACAGCTTATCATGGATTTGTGGTATCAACCAACACTAAGATATGTCATCATTTTTTGGGAAATTCTAGCGCTAACAACAGTTTTCAAAGGGCAAATTAAATTTAATCAAGTAACAATTTTATTAATATGTAATTACTTGATTAGCAAATAAACATTTGATCTGATTTGATTAATGTATACAACGATATAAAATGTAGACTTAGATTGCGCTTTAAGTACCCAAAAGTACTTAATACACATCTTTGCAAATACATGAATAATTTCGCACCATATCTTATTAAGTTAACTTGAAGTACCAATACTTATCGGGTTAAGGTTATTTCAGATGCAGTAACATAAACACAAACAATGCTCTTCGTCTGAGTACCTATTTAACTGGAAGTTTCCGTTTCTATTGGATTTTGGAATAGCCATTATTTTGGTTCAGACAAAGAAGGCTAACTTTTGCCAATCTCAATGTATGCCAAGGGCACGTTCGTTGGGACGTTGTTGGCCAGCAGAGCAGAATAACAACAAAATCGACCGTCTGTGTTTGTTATCAGCCCTCACTAGCCACTTCAAGCGGGCTGCGTTTTTGTTACGTTCCTGCCGAGTGACTTGATCGATACGAGCTTATAATGCTACATGGAGGCTACACTAACAAATGAGTTTAGCTAAGCCTGTTTGTTGTTTCTGTCAATAAGGAAAAATATGCATTATAAAAGCATAGTTTCCTAATAGTCAATCTCGATATTACACGCTATTTATGGCATGTGCGCTAATAAGGTTCTTATCCAAATGATTTTGAGCTTTATTATTGACAAACATATTTGACGACTATTCACAATCTATTGAGAAAAGTAAATTTGTTGTAACCTGATGTGTGGCTGTCAGTACATTCATACAAAAATATTGAAATTAAAATATAGTTGTCGTTTTTTGGATGCATTATAGTGCAGCAGAGATGCTCTTGATTGCTTTATGATTAATTTATATGTGACTCACACCTGAGTAAACTTTGAGTTTTATTTTGCCGGCGTTCACGTCAACATTCTTTTCTTTCGAATCACAATATTTCATCCCATTTTATCAATAAACTTATTACAAGAGATGAATAACTTCGTGTTGCAATAAACATTTCATATAAAGGTTATTGTAGAATTCGATCAGACTCATTCGTATTTAGTTTGACCTCCAAAGAATAAGACTTTACTTTTCTTTAGATTTAAACATCTAGCAGTTAAATGCTTAAAAAAAATCATAACTATAATTGCTATTTCTTCTTTCAAATGTTTAATACTTGTAAAAGTATTCATTTGACATTGTGGGTTGCCTACAATGCGAAGACATCTCTTCGCAATTTCTGACTGCTGACATCTCTTGGCAAGCGCAGAGACAGCGCCATCGCGCTGTCTTGCAGCTTAAGGCTAGGAAAATGTCGACGCGGCTAATAGGGCCGTGGTAGCATAATGGTCAGTGCATTCGCCCGGATAGCGAAGGATGCGGGTTCGAGTCCCGTCCGCTGCCTGGTCCGCGTGGATTTTTTTCTAGTAAACTTTTCTTTAGATTTAAACATCTAGCAGTTAAATGCTTAAAAAATAAATAAAATCATAACAATAAGATGTGTTGTCATCTGCTTATATTTTGTTTAATTTAGTAACGTAGCCACAACCAACCAGGATGCAGCCATGGTGACTAAGCATAAAGGAGTTCGAGATAACACATTTCTGGTTACCAATCCGGGAGTTGCTTCCATGATAAAACCGAACGCGCTAAACAGAACACCATATTATTAATATAAGCATTCTTACAATATTAATTATTAATATATTGTAAATATATGTATATTGTACCTAAATGCTTGTGAAAAATGTTACGGTGTTCTTAGCTACGTACATCCTTGGATACATCTATGAACTGATCAAGCTATTGGTTACAGAGCCCGGGCAGCTGCTACTTGTTCAAATGCGGGCCGCCGGAGGACTTTCGCTGCAAGTTTACAGCGCACGGCAACTTCAGCAGCGGCGTGCTGGCGCTCAGCCGGCGCCTCGCGGAGCTGCAGGACCAGGAGCGACTCGCGCGCCACGACCAGCAGCTGGCCAGCCTCAGGTATCACTTCATCAGTTAATACTGACGTCTGTAGCCTCGGCTTGCTGGCGCTCAGCCGGCGCCTCGCGGAGCTGCAGGACCAGGAGCGACTCGCGCGCCACGACCAGCAGCTGGCCAGCCTCAGGTATCACTTCATCAGTTAATACTGACGTCTGTAGCCTCGGCTTGCTGGCGCTCAGCCGGCGCCTCGCGGAGCTGCAGGACCAGGAGCGACTCGCGCGCCACGACCAGCAGCTGGCCAGCCTCAGGTATCACTTCATCAGTTAATACTGACGTCTGTAGCCGCGGCGCGCTGGCGCTCAGCCGGCGCCTCGCGGAGCTGCAGGACCAGGAGCGACTCGCGCGCCACGACCAGCAGCTGGCCAGCCTCAGGTATCACTTCATCAGTTAATACTGACGTCTGTAGCCGCGGCGCGCTGGCGCTCAGCCGGCGCCTCGCGGAGCTGCAGGACCAGGAGCGACTCGCGCGCCACGACCAGCAGCTGGCCAGCCTCAGGTATCACTTCATCAGTTAATACTGACGTCTGTAGCCGCGGCGCGCTGGCGCTCAGCCGGCGCCTCGCGGAGCTGCAGGACCAGGAGCGACTCGCGCGCCACGACCAGCAGCTGGCCAGCCTCAGGTATCACTTCATCAGTTAATACTGACGTCTGTAGCCGCGGCGCGCTGGCGCTCAGCCGGCGCCTCGCGGAGCTGCAGGACCAGGAGCGACTCGCGCGCCACGACCAGCAGCTGGCCAGCCTCAGGTATCACTTCATCAGTTAATACTGACGTCTGTAGCCGCGGCGCGCTGGCGCTCAGCCGGCGCCTCGCGGAGCTGCAGGACCAGGAGCGACTCGCGCGCCACGACCAGCAGCTGGCCAGCCTCAGGTATCACTTCATCAGTTAATACTGACGTCTGTAGCCGCGGCGCGCTGGCGCTCAGCCGGCGCCTCGCGGAGCTGCAGGACCAGGAGCGACTCGCGCGCCACGACCAGCAGCTGGCCAGCCTCAGGTATCACTTCATCAGTTAATACTGACGTCTGTAGCCGCGGCGCGCTGGCGCTCAGCCGGCGCCTCGCGGAGCTGCAGGACCAGGAGCGACTCGCGCGCCACGACCAGCAGCTGGCCAGCCTCAGGTATCACTTCATCAGTTAATACTGACGTCTGTAGCCGCGGCGTGCTGGCGCTCAGCCGGCGCCTCGCGGAGCTGCAGGACCAGGAGCGACTCGCGCGCCACGACCAGCAGCTGGCCAGCCCTAGGATCTATAGCAGTGGCGTGCTTACTTCCCCTGCCTCTGGTTGGACCATCCCGTAAAACAAATATATTTACAAAGCATTTCTTTGCACGATTCATTTATTTATGATAACTGAAATTGCAGGTTTTAATACTGTCTGATGCATGGTCCGCGTGCAATGTTTTCTTGTAAAATTTACTTTAGATCTATAAATAAATATATTGCTGCAAAAATCCGAGGAATTACCAGCTATCTGGTGTATGTATCATATATATGTACTACGGTGGAAAATTTTGTAAAATTGTTGCAACGTACGTGAAAAGACAACAAATTTAATAAAAAATAAATATAATAAAGTTTAATGAAAGTGATTAGTTTAGTCTTTAAACACAATGCACATTTTCATGTGTTTATTTTATTATTAATTTTTCGAATCAATTTAAGTATGCAGTATAAAATATTAAATTTTGACCTAGACAGTTGAATTTTATCACAGGTGTTGTCTTTAATGACGAACATCACATCACAGGCAGGTTCTTCACTTTTAAATTTTATTGATAAATACACTATTTAGAATTTTCATTAGCAATGAAATGTTGTCTTGCAATAATGATAAGGTACTTGCACGGTAATATTATCTATGTACTTGGCTGTAGTGCCATCGAAACTTTATGGTACTTGTGAAATTATCAGCGAGCGCAACCGTGCGAGCCTTCATCACCTAACATTTCAATTACTGCGCGATGACTTGTGCTAACTTCACAACCGTAAGTGGCACTACACTTAAATCCTGCGCCTGAGGTTATCCTTACGTTAACAGAGGCGCCACGAGCAGCACGGCCGCGCCGACAACGCCGGCCACCACCACGCCGGCGCCGCCGCCGGCACCCGCGCCGCCGCGCCCGCCGGACCCTCCTCGTATGTACTCACATTATCTCTCTTTAGTCTAGCTAGATACATTAAAGCATACAATCAATAAAATGAATCTATCTTCCATCTAAAAAACTGGCGCCCAGCGTGGTGCAAGCTACATTGTATATATTGAAATCTCTTGTAATATCTATCTATGCAAATAAATATAATGTGTAAAGAAAATATAACTGGAAAAGATTCCACGTGGACCAGGCAGCAGACGGGACTCGAACCCGCACCCTTCGCAATAATTGGTCAGTGCATTCGCCCGGATTGCGAAGGGTGCGGGTTCGAATTTTTCCTAGTTATATTTTCCTTTAGATTTAAAAATCAAGCAGTTACATGCTTTAAAAAAATAAAAATTATAAAATATAATGTGTTTTGATTTTTTTATCAGCAGACCATAGACGTATTAATTAAGACCATTGCAGACACACGAAATATACACACATCAAAAGTGTCTAGGGATCAAGCATTTTTATGCGGATTTCTTGAGATTGAGATGTGGCTTTGTAATAAATTTATGATTTTATAAATTTATATGGATCCTTTTTGGTGCATTTCATAATTTGAATCAGGAACTGTGAATCAAATTCGAGTAAAAGATGAAAATCAGCTGTCAATATTTTCCCTATAAAAACATACAACGCATTGAAGACATTATTAGTGCTACTGTTTCCCTACTACTGATTAAAACCAACGTTATTATGGAGCGGCGACGTCATTTAAGCAGGGAAGAAATGCTCAGAGCCGTGGGAATGATAGAAGCTGGTTCCCGGCAACGTACTGTGGCTTTAGCTCTGAATACAAGTCAGAGTGTTATCAGTCGACTTTGGACACGATACCGAAGCACTGGTACCGTGGCTGAGCGCCATGGAGGACGGTATCGCTGCACCACACGGAGACAAGACCGATACATTCAAATCTTAACTCGAAGAGCTCCAACAATAACCGCCATGATGTTAGCCGTGAGGCTTCATCACTCTTCAGGGAACTTAATTAGCGACCAAACAGTCAGAAACCGCTTGCATGAAGTGAACCTTCATTCCCGAAGACCGCTACGGGTACCACCTATAGCAATGCACAATCGTAGGATTCGATATCAATGGGCTCTTGAACACAGAAATTGGGCAGAAGAACAATGGCGTTTCGTGTGCTTTTCTGATGAGTCTCGTTTTGGTATGAGACCGGATACAAGACGTATACGACACTGGAGAACCCCTGGACGCCAACAGCGATTAAAATCCTGCCAGGAAGTCCATCCTTATAGTGGTGGAACCATCATGGTATGGGCGGGTATTTGGATCGGCGGAAGAACTGAGTTGATTTGGATCAGAGGCAACCTCAACGCTCAAATTTATGCTGAGACGATTGTATCAGACGTCATCGTTCCTCTACAAGTGCAAATCGGTCCCTTATTTCAGTTAATGCATGATAATGCACGACCGCACACCGCAAGAGTTGTAAGACAGACTCTCGCCGCAGCTAACATCAATGTCCTGCCCTGGCCTGCTCAGTCGCCAGACTTGAACCCGATTGAGCATGCATGGGATATGCTACAGAGAAGAGCTCTGCCGAATATGGAGGGTATCCAGTCGCAAGAAGACCTTTTTTTGTTGTTGCAACGAACATGGGCGGCCATTCCACAGCGTGATTTGGATGAACTCATTTTGAGTATGCCAAACCGATGTTCTTGTGTTGTTAGTGTTCGCGGTAGAAATACGGATTATTAATTGTTTAAGTTACCCAATAAAATTTTAGAGAAAACTGTTATTTCAGTCTTTTTTTCGAACTTTTGTGTTAGTGGTTCAAATGTCAAAAATCCCTTTATTAGGAAAATGGCAAATTTCTTTATTAATGCAAAGGTGACTGACTTGGTTTATCGTTACTGTGACAAACGAAAACACTTTATTTGATGAATCCTTAAAGAAAATTTTAATTAATATCAATCAGGAGAAAAGTTATTGCAAAAATATATGTTGATCCCTAGACACTTTTGATGTGTGTAGTTCGGAATCATGCCGTACCCTTACAGAGATAGACAAGTTCCCGGTTAGCACTAGTATGTTAAAATGATTGTCGTAATTATATACAACAATTAATGTGCGAATTTAATGCATGTCAGTATGATATTATTATTGATATAACATCACAAACCCCCTTATCAATTTTGTTACCTTTTACATAGAAAAGACCATGCACCATAACATGACTCTCCAGTCATATTCTGAAAACGTAAAACCACGGACTTTGGGATTGGACATGGGGTCTAAACTAGCGCTTTTTGTGTTTTTTTTTCATCATCATCATCATCATCAACAGCCTATCATAGTCCACTGCTGGACATAGGCTTCTCCAAATGCACGCCACTCAGATCGATCTTGGGCTACTCGCATCCAGCTCCTGCCAGCCTTGCGCAAATCGTCACTCCATCGTGCCTGAGGACGTCCTACACTACGTTTGCTTAGACGCGGTCTCCACTCCAGAACTCGTCTACCCCAACGGTTATCGGTTCTTCGGCAAATATGGCCAGCCCACTGCCACTTCAACTTGCTAATCCGGTGGGCTATGTCGATAACTCTGGTTCTCTGTCGGATTACCTCATTTCTGATGCGATCTTTCAGAGAAACGCCGAGCATAGCCCTTTCCATAGCGCGTTGAGCGACTTTGAACCTGTGGATCAGCCGTGCCGTCAGTGTCCACGTCTCGGCACCGTATGTCATCACAGGTAGGACGCACTGATTGAAGACTTTCCTCTTTAGGCACTGTGGGATCGACGATGTCAGGACTTGACGTAGCTTCCATAACGCTGCCCAACCTAGCTGAACTCTTCTATTCACCTCGTCCTCAAAGTTGTTTCTACCTAACTGCAATGTCTGCCCGAGGTATACATATTTTTGAACAACTTCGAGAACGGCACCGTGTATTGCAATCGGTTCCGGTAGAACATGTTCATTGAACATGACCTTGGTTTTATCCAAGTTCATCCGTAGGCCGATGCGTATAGAAGAGTCAGCCAGGTCATTCAGCATCTGTTGTAGGTCCTGCAGGGTTTTGCCATGATGACGATGTCGTCTGCAAATCGCAAGTGAGAGATGCGTTCGCCATTTATGTTGATGCCATGTCGTTTCCAGTTCAGCGTCTTGAACATATCCTCCATTGCATTAGTGAACAATTTCGGGGAAATAACGTCCCCTTGTCTCACTCCACGATGCAACGGTATGGGACTTGTTTGCTGATTCTGTACTTGGACAGACATGGTGGCGGCTTCGTAGAGACATCTTATCACTTGGATGTATCGCCAGTCGACTTGGCAACGCTGCAGGGACTCCAGGACAGACCAGATTTCAATCGAGTCATAGTCCACAAATGCTAGGCACAGGGGCTGATTGTACTCCTCAGTCTTCTGTATAATCTGCCGCACTGTGTGGATGTGGTCTATGGTGCCGTATCCGCTCCGAAACCCAGCCTGTTCCGGTGGTTGGAAATCATCAAATCTTCGCGCAAGACGGTTCGCGATCACTCTTGAGAACAGCTTATAGACGTGGCTTAGAAGGGATATAGGTCGATAGTTCTTAAGTAGGGTCTTGTCCCCCTTTTAAAGAACAAGACGACCTCACTCCTACTCCACGCCTCCGGAGTTCTCCCTTCGAACAGGACAGTGTTAAAAAGCTTTTGAAGCTCCCTCAGTACGGGTTTACCTCCAGCCTTCAAGAGTTCTGTTGTAACACCATCCTCTCCAGGGGCTGTTCCATTTTTAAGCTTTCCAAGAGCAATCTCGATTTCGCCAATACTGACTTCTGGCAGGTCTTCGGTGAAGTGGCGTGTTAATGTGGCTCTAGAATCCTTTTTTTATTTTTTTTTATTAATCTATTATTTATTTTTCGAAACAATTTAAGTATCTATAGAATATTTCAATTTGCCCAGAATTTTACAATACCTAAATAGTAAGTAAGTATTAAACGTTTGGTAGGTGCCTAAGTAGCTTATTAATTCTGTCTTGGGCCGTATACAGAAAGAAAGCCGAAAGCCGATCGGCGCTTATCCTACATAAAGGAAGCCGATTAAAGCAGATCAAGCAAAATGTCGGACTCATCGGACGATGATTTGGTTTTGTTAGAATATATTTATTTAAAAATGCGAAAAACAGCTATACATCCTATAAATAGAGAAAGGAAACGTTTCGGAGAATACCATCATTTATTTGTAAAAAAAATTAAATTTGATGAACAAAGATTTTATACATATACAAGAATGATTCAAGAAACATTTTATTACATTTTGGATTTAGTGAAAAACCGTTTGATGAAAAATTGGGGCAATTGGCATAAACAACCAATCCTTCCAGAAGAAAGACTTGTTGTCACCATTCGGTAAATACGAAACAAATAATTTTAGCGCTTAGTTAATAAAAGATAAAGTTATTAGATTTATAAAAAGATTATAACTTAGATTGATTTAATCTAAGGAGAATAATTCAAATACAAATTATTTATTATTCGGACCAGCGCGTGTCGGCGCGTATCGGCGCTTATCGGCGCCGGTCCATAGAAAAAGGATCAGCGTCAATAGGCGCCGATAAGCGCCGATCGGCTTTCGGCTTTCTTTCTGTATACGGTCATAGTTTTTATCAAAAATCCTTACCTCTCCGATGTTTGCATTTTTACAGTAAATATTCATAAAAATATTTCGAAAAAAAATACGATAAGAAAAACATTACAAAAGAAATAAAATAGAAATTGCTGGTAAAAAATAAAACTTTTACGTGTTCACATTTTTGTAGGTTTTTATTTGTAACGTAACTCAAATAAAACTATGATTTTTTCATATCTCTGACACGGGTAAATATTACGATTACGGCAGTGCTTTTATAACAAGATTAGCATATAAGGATGCGTGCTTTAAATTATCTAACCTTTAAAATAGTTTTTTTTTAAATTCCTTAGATGGAGCGTAAATAAATAAATGTAATATGGAACTTGGTGTTTAAGTTATGAAGCTTATTT